TACCGGGAGCATTACACGTCATTCCGGAACAACCCGAAGAAGAATCGAATGATCCCGAAACTTACTCGTACTCTGATATCAACGTGTACTTTTGACCAAAAGAGAGACTAATCAGTACCTGGCCAAAGACTAGTAACCGATACAGTTCATCACTTCATCATGACTAACTGCATTGCGAAGTCACATATTAATTTTGCACAGCTTAAAATAAAAATGATTTAAATACAAAGTAACGTAACATTCAGAAATCTTCCTCCACTGTTTGATTATATATCATTTTCTTGAATAAATTTGCAAGAAGCAACCTAAATCTCTCCAAAGCATAAATAATGTGCTGCAGTCTTTAGTCAGTATTTTGCTATACATTCCTTTTTTGCACTTTTTCAAATTTTCCGGGGGAGGGGGACGACCCCCCTAAACAAAATTGACGAGGGGGGTGGGGGGGGGGGGACTTGTCTTCCCGCCCCCGGATCATCTCCCCTGGTCATGTCAAAGGCCAAACTAATGAACTGGTTTTGGTTCAACGTTGTCAAGATGTTAGTGGTTCACTTCATAGGTTTCACGTCACTATTGCCACATCAGAGCCAATTTTGCATAGCGCCATCTTGTAACATAAAGTTAGTTTTTGAGCTGTTTTGCAGACAATATCCCCATTTTCTCCGAGGCATTTTCAGGTTATGGATAAATATGGGCAGAACTCTCTTTGAAGGGGGAAGAAATACACGCACTTCAAGTAAATTTATTTTGGGTTTTCTTGGCCTTCGACAATGGCATGGGAACATAATATACTGCAACTTCGTTGTGTATAACGACCTTTCACAACATTGAGGGGGGGGGGGGGGGGTCACTCCTTACACAAGGGTTGTGTAAAGTTGTGTTAACAAAATTACATAACTTTACACAACGAATTTGCAGGAATTTGTTGTCTAATATTATTTTCGTGTGTAAGGAGTGCACCACCCAATGTTGTGTAAAGTCGTTACACAACGTTACACAACGAATTTACAGTGAACTCTAGCTTTATCTCAATACGCCCAAGATATACCTTTGTTGACAATCCTGGATCAGAGCACATACATTTTTACCATTTTGCAAGGGGGGGGGGGTAAGTATACATTCATTGGGCGTAATTTCGATGAGATTAAATTAGTTTAGTCCATTATATAACGGTTCTTTTTAACACCACTATTTTGGCAATTTATGCCCTTTCATATGACACCTCAATCAGGAAAAATGAGCCAGGGATAACAAAGTTCTGTTTGTTTAAAGTAATGCTTGCATTTCCATAATTTGATCAAACGGGTTCGTTTTTACTGGCTCCTTGCCGTTGCAACAAACAGAGTTAACGAAAGACTTAACTCCGTTTTTTTTTTGACGATCAGCCATGCACAAGGAAGACGAAAGACCTGATGCATGGCTGCTCTTCAACGAAACGGAGTTAAGTCTTTTGTCAACTCTGTTTGTTTCTACGACAGGCAGCCAGTGAAAACGAACTCGTTTGATCAATTGGAAATACAAGCATTTTTTTTCATATAAAAGGGCAGGAATTGAAATTTCTAGAAATGTGATTTTCTCCTCGAAATTCAGATACCGCCCGACAGATGACTTTTCGATTTCCTCTCTTCAAATTGCTGTTAATCACCCATGCGTGAAATATGCATCATATGAGTTGCATCAAATGAAAGAGGAGGATCTAAGCTTTATGTGTCATTTATTAATTATAATTGTGATTAAGTTATGATAAAGCATCGATGATTCTCCGTTTCGTTTTTTCTGGGACGCATGCACTGCATAGCTACTTTCCACATTATTGTCGTATAAACAATTATTAGTTTCTAAAATAGCATGGGTTTTCTTTTTCTACTAATGTCTCAGTGGCGTAGCCGGGGTAAGATCAGTCGGGGGCAGGATGGTGGGGCAAGATTTCCAACAAGGGGGACAAATTACGATATGATTATTTATGTGTGTTATGTTTTACTTTATTTTTCGTCACCACGGGAGCGGGGCAATATTAGCTATAGGTTATGTCTTTATATTATAGTTATCAAAGATAAAATGTAAAAATATACTTTTAAAAAAGACATAATACAGGATACGCCACCGTTCGCATGAGACAAAAGACTACATGCATGGCATTACTTTAAACAGTCAAACAGAAATTTGATATTTCTGGCGCATTTTGTCTGATTGAGGTATTATGAAAGGGCAGAAAATGAACTTTTTAGAAATTAGATTTTTTCTTTGAAATTCAGCTACCGTTCGCAAAATGACTTTTAAGTACTCTTTCTTCAATTTGTTTAATGACTCATGCTGGAAATATGCATTATATGAGTTGCATCAAATGAAAGAGGAGGATCTATAAGCTTTACAAATATATGTCATTGTGATTAAGTTATGATAAAACATCGATAATTCTCGGTTTCGTTTTTTTTCTGGGACGCACTGTATAACAATCTCCTCTCCGTCGCTTTCTTCCTTTGCTGAGGGTTAGGGACATGATTGATCAACCTCTTGGTGGCAACGCATCTCCAACACCCCCCCCCACACACACACACACACTGGCTACGCCATCTATGAACTACTTTGACGAAAATTGTCGGTAATGTGTACTTGTACCACGGGAATAATGCGGGGAGGGTGGGCCGAATGGCGCAGCGTGTCAGACTGATTGGGGGTGGGTGGTCCCAGGGTGATTGGTTGCGTACATTGGGGCACGCATTTCTCTTTATTAGTTCAGAAATTTTTGTTTTCAATAAAATTTTCTAAAAATATTCGAGGCTATATGTCCCCCCCCCCCCCACACCCCATGGCTACGCCACAGCCGTGGGGGTGTCCCCATCAAATATTTACCTTTCTCATTTCGTTTGCTTATTCAATGTGTACGAATAGCGCCCCTCAATCCGTATAATGAATAGCGATACTCATTTTGCATTATAAATAGCGGTCCTTACGAATAACGGTCCTTATGCCTTTATGAATAGTGACCCCCTTTCCAGTTTCCATTTTATGAATATCGGTCCTTTTTAGGTATATTGGAAGTTACGTGTTATGAATAGAGGTCCTTATGAATAGCGGTCCTTATAATGAATAGCGAGGTTATACCCCCGAAGTGGGAGGGGAGAAGCACAACCGGCCCGACCCTCCGTCCGTTTTGAAACCAATACGACACACCTTATGCATCTAACAAATTGGGCTCCATCGGATTTTTATACTATACTCTTCAAATTTCAACAGATTCAAATGGGCATGGATTCATTTGTGACTCACTATAAATATCCCGAAACCCACGCGTGCAGTATACACTCTTATTTCCACAGCGTCAAATTTCACTCTAAATGGCGTCAGCTGGGAGTCAACTCTATTCCTAGTTAAAGTGACACGGAAAAGGAGTCATCTTGACTCTGAACTGAGTCATTTTGCAGCTAATGCCACACAATCCGAGTCAAATTGATTCGGAATCTGTATTATTATGCACGTCCGTTTAAAGTAAATTGGGACGGCCTATAAGCCCACTAGACCGATAAAGTAGGCACATGCCACAACACCCCACAACAGAGGGTTCAACTCACAGACGTATATTATGAAACCATTACCAGACGAAAAGCAGCATTAATTGTCGGTCTTACGCCTTAATACGGTTCGTTTCACAACTTTTGCCAACAAATTTGAATTAATTTTTCTTCGCCCTTTTTCATGATTTAATTGTGACATCAATAGTTATTGTTGATAGATAAAGTTCATATCCCCTAACTCAGATCAATAATATAATGATTCTGATAAAATTTAAACTTAATCTATTAACAGGGGCGGCACTATAGGTTATTTTGTTAGGAGGGTGAAATGAGCGCATCACCACGCAGGAGAGTGTCTGAGGGGGATGTGCCCCCCTCAGACGTTGAAGATTTTTTTTTTTATTTGATGCATTTAATGGCTCGATTTAGTGCATTAGAGAAAACAGTCTTAAGATCAACTAACAGAAACAAAAATGCAGGGGTGTCTGAAGGGGGGATGTGCCCCCGTCAGAAGTTTAAATTTTTTTTAAATTGATGCATATGGCTTGATTTGGTGCACACTTTTTGCCAAATCAAAAAGAAAAACAGTCTTAAGTTCAACTAACAAGAACAAGAACGCAGGGGGGGGGGGGTGTCACCATATTTTTCAAAAGGGTTGTTATACTTGTCGTTTCCATTAAACAATCAGTCATAAGATTTAGGAGATACAAGGGATTAATTTATTTTTTTCAGTTGGTAAAAGGTTTTTTCTCTCTTTTTCTTTTCTCTATCTTTATTTTTCCCCTCTCCCCCGCCCTCCCTTACGTCATAATTTACATCATTGTTCTCTTTCTCCTGGCCTTCCTCCTTCTCATATTCCTTTTCTTTTCTTCTCCTTCTTTTCGTTTCTTCTCCTAGTCTTTTCATTTCCTTTTTCTTCTCCTGGGCTCTTTCTCCTTCCCTTCCTCTTCCCTTTTTTCAAAATGATAGGGAGGGCGGCCGCCCCTGCCCCCCTGTGGCGCCGCCCCTGTCTATTAAGATTGAATCATATTGTCATAAATTATTTCATAAAAAGAAGTAACAAAAGTTTATTCCAACCAGGGAGGTGAGACTTTATTTATGGGCAACAGTGTAGATGGTCCCGTTCTCTTGTAGGCCCGGGTGTAGGCCCTCTGCATCCATCGGTGCCGCCTACCACCAGAAGAATCCCCGTATAATTATTATATCGGTGGTGTGTGATTGGCGGTACAATAAGTAAAAATCTTTGCCAGCAGGTAGATGGATTTGTGGCATTCAATTCCAAGAAATTCCTCGGCAACGAGGATTACCGAGATGCATTGTTTCGCCGTTTTAGGACAAATATTTTGTTCTAAACGCACGGGCGCACACGTCATCATCGTGGACGATACTGTACTATACGCATACAGAGTACGGCGGCGCGCTTTACACACTTGAATAGCTCCCATCTCCCAGCCCTGATCCTAGTTACTAGTTAGTAGGCCTATATAGGATCGACGAATCAGAGGACATGAGTTGGTGATGTAAACGGAGTGACGTAATTTTGGAAAGTCCACACTGTAGCTCCAAACATCATTGCATGTATGCATATTCTCGGCTTGCAGCAAAAAAGAAGAAGTCGATAGGCACTTGTGTTGTAATCTTCGTTTGGAAGTCAGTAGGCTAGTGGAAAGTCATCAATGAGCGCGTAAGAAAGGGCATCGTCATGATGACAATCAACATGATCTGTTCAAGATGGACCGGGTTGCTGGCCGCGTTGCTCCTCATCGCAATGTGCATCGGAGCTGAGCCTCGGGAAAAGCGGGCTGCCGATAGCACTGAGCAGTAAGTGAAAGTCTTCAAATTCAAAACTTTTTGCACGAAGTAAGACAGCTCTTTTCCATCCCGAATATAGATGGTTATCATATGTCTGTATGTTTCATTTCAAATAAGATGACATTTTCATGTTGACCATGTTCAATGGAACGATCTTTAAGTTTATAGTAACGCTTTTGAAGTAAACTAAAATTAGCAGGGGGATGTGTTTGCCGAGATCGCATGAGGTGAAGAAATTGGGTTTCGCCTGCACCCTAGCGAGTAGCGGTACGTCTCGCTACCAACCTGACACGGGATCCGCCCCCTTGCCTATCTTTCTCCACACAACCCTGATGTATGTACTTTATCTAGAGTGTAGATGGATGATTTTTGTTACCTAGATGAATAGAATTTCTGAAGTACTTGTATTCTTACTATTCACAAAGTACAGACGGATTTGGACCTGGATTTATTTTGATATAAAACCATGTGCACGGAAAGTAAAGTTTGGTCTATAAACTTGTGAGCATGCAACACAAGTTCTCAAATTTAAATCCCTTTGACCTTTCCCTAAACCCTAGTGCCATTCCAACATAATTTGTTCCCCAGAAGAGGGACAGAAATATTTAATGAAATTCAAGATTTAACTCTTCTAGCATGTGATATGTCGATTTCAAATTAAATTTTAATTTCAAGATGCATGTTTGTAAAATTGTCTTTTATTCAAATTAATGAATTCTTTAAAAAAAAATACAGGTATAAAGAAAATGTACACAAAATTACAGTACAAATAAGACAAAGTAAAAGAAGAAAAGCTAGTATTTTCCAGTAGAATGAGAGGAAGTGGTGGATGAGGGAGGGGGGGGGGGGGGGCTTGAGTTTGAATTTTGAGGTCGAGTGGGTTAATCTTTTATTTTCCACACAAAGATGCTGTCCACTGGGGTCATTGTTTAATAGTGTTTGCTATGTTTTGTGGTTGTGCATCAATTCAACTGATTTTTTTTTTAAATGCGAATATCGATTCGCTTTTTGTGATAATAAGACAGAGGTAAGAAAATGAAATAAATAGCTGTCGCCCGACTGATGGATTTATTTGTGTAGTTGGCATAATAGTACTTTTTTCTTCTTTATGTAATACAAGTACAATAGTAGTAGGTTTACAATTCAAAACTTGATTGCTAATTTCAGATTAAAACGTGACATAAAGTTAAAAAGCAGATCTAACAAATAATGAGAAGATACAATCATTATCAGTGATATTGATTATTTTGTACTGATTATATCTAACTGATAAATTGTTAGTTGTCAAATACATGTTCATTCTGTAGGCTTTTCGATATTGAACCCAAAATGGGAGAATTTGATCTTCCTGTGGATTTATTTGTATCTCATTTTCTTTTATTTTGTTGTCCTTTTCTTAGATTTTCCTACTTTTACTAAAGGCAGTTTTTTTTGCTTCAAAAGATAACATGATGTACTGCACAGTATATGAACAATATACCACACATTCATGTAGTTCTAACACTAGATCACCTTTCTCTTTGATTTTTGAAGGGAAAGCAGCTGATAAAGTAATTTAGTGACCCAAATTTCAAGATACCATGTAACAATTTAAGATGAAAATTAAAAGTGTTGCATTATTAGGCATGTAAGTGAATGGTGAATATACAGTGTAGATAGATCTACATGTACATGTACATTTCTTAAAATCATTGTAATGTTGCAATGATTACTATAACATGGAGTTGTCTGATTTACTAATTTTGTATCACTTGATATTAAATAGGTTAATTAAAATGTAAGTTCTGTCAGCTGAGTACTACAGTTTGAAGACAGAAGTTCTCAAAGAGAAAATGAGAAATGATAGATTGAGGAACTAAGTTTATATAGTAAAACCCTTTCCTAACTGCCCTCAAACAGGTGACGTGTGCTTGACCTTCTGGAGGACATCTATTCAATTTTTTCCATAGTACAATGTATGTAAAACAGTGGATGACGAGAGTTACAAGTATCCCTTTACAATGGCCCAAGACCTTGTCCCTGAGGTCTGAACTATACACACTCCCCTACTCTTATCCAAAAACAGAATGGGGGCACAGTAATCACTGTAACACATGAATCTACTTTAGAAAACTTGTGTTCCACTCCCCATTCACTTTTCCTTCCCTACATGTAGTTTATCTGAAGTTTCTTAAATGGTCACCCTTAAACATACTTTCTAGTTTCAATCAAACTAATTTAATATCCGTAAACCTAACATTCCTCTGTTTCTGAATATATGTATACAAGTGAAAAAGCTTTCAAAATGCACTTTATTCTTAATTTTGCCTTGAGATATGCTTATTTTTTGCCATGGAATGTTGTAAGAATACTGAACCATCATAGATGAATTTCACTTGACATGTACAGTATTCTGCTTAGGTTGTTCTTAGGAAAGCAATGTACCTCAATAGTTCTTTGACTCTTTAAATACCTGGAGGAAGGGAGAGGGGCTTATTATTAATAGGGCTATATTTTACAGGAAAATATTTTTTTGTAATAGATGCACATGTAAGTTATTGATTTCATTTGGCGCATGTGCTCAGTGCCTCAGTCCCATTTCGTGTCTCAATTAGACCACAAAAAGTTTACTGTGTGTAGTATAGAGTAGAGGGTAAATGACTGTGTACATGATTAAACATTTAAGTGAACACTCACCTCTGTTTTTATACTTCAGGAAGGTTTCTGTTGAAGTCCTGCATTCATGTTTAAATCCATGATTTTGTCTCTTCCTCAGGCCAAATATACTGACCAATGATGGACATCTGATATTCCAGACAGGGTCAAATCACAATATATCTTTCAAGACAGGAGGTGGAACAGGGAGAATCAATATTGATGATTATGATCTCATGGATATATCCAGAACCGTAAGTTGAACTAAATTCATCTGTTATTATCGGGAAGGCTTCTAATTTTCAGACCAGCTACCTTGTACACAACGCTAATAAAAATGATGTGCTAAGTTGCCAACTATCTAATTAGTTCTGGATTTGTTTTACAGTGCTGTTTTATCACATTGCAGTATACAAGTAATGTACATTTGTAGTTTGTGTCATTCTTTAATGATCTTTGTTGTTGTTGTTGTTGTAAAATATACAGAGTAAAATATTTATACATGTACAGACAAAAATCGGTGGATAGCCTAATTCAGCAGTGTTTATAGAACACTACTGTTCTTCCTTGGGGTCCTTAACTAACTTGTGTCTGTTTGAGGTATGTACACTAGTATATGTTTTGGTTGTAATAATGGAAGATAAAACATGTGTAACTTATACTGCATATTCAAGGTTATACATGTAGAAGAATTATAGTCATCATACAATCACATGCTCTGCTAAACAACTTTGGTGGGAAAGTAATTGTACTGATTTATAAGCAAAGAAAGTTACAGTAATATTCAATCCTGACTGTATGCATCTGAACACTCTAATTTGTACCATTATGTGCAATGTGGCCTTTACAATTTATAAATCATTTTCAGTGATTTTCTGCTGAAGTATTGTGGCTGGAAGATTGAGCATTTATGTCAGCAGCTCCACAAATCAGTGAAAGATGAGATTGAACTTTGAAGATGACTTTCAATACAAGAAAACTGAAAAACACCTCATGACATTGACATGTATTTTCTCTTGAACATGTTTTATTACAAGTACATTCTGTGTATTTTGTCATTAATATGTTTATTGAAAGTTCCTTCGGCACCTGGATGGATGTTTCACTTCATAAATGTTTGCATTACTAATAATTTTATTGACAGATAAAGGAGGATATAAAACATGTATGTTAGTATTTTACATTGTAGATCATATAACCTTGAACGTTTCTTGCACACATGTGTAGTGTCACAGAAAGGGGTCTCATCTTTTTACTATTGTAAAACCAATATAGACATTTCAGTAGTGAGGTTGAGCATGTTAAGCACCCCTGTGAACTCTGGCAAGTGAGCAGAATATTTTCTTTGCATGGAAGTTTGAGCCAGAAAGGCATTTGCTTGTACTTCCAGAAAGATTTACAGGTGATGTCCTTCTAGATGATTTTCTGTGTTTCAAAAGTGTTCATTTTTAAATTGTTTTGGGTGCTTGGTATACAAGATTTTGTTTATTTAGAAAGGGAGAAGAAAGATTTTAAAATGTTATTAATTGAGCCAATCCTCCAAAAGCACTTCAAATACTTTTCTCTTTCGATCACTTGGGGAGGAGGGGGAGGAGGAGGGGTAGGAGGAGGAGGATTCATTTTACAGGGGAAAGTACAATAGCATTCATACTCTGTGCAATGGAGTATTTGTTTTATTGAGCAGAACAATAGGAAAAGTGTTTTTCAAGAATGAAGAAATTACAGAATTCCTTCCTGTCATGCTGTGTTTACCATTCATGTTTTGAGAGGTCCTATGGGAATTAACTTGTCATTCTGCTGTGCCAAAGCCTACCCTGTTCAGACTATTTATATGATACCCACATTAAAAGTTTTGTGTAAAGAATCATCCTATAGGCCTACATGTAGCAAAAGGAACTTGTCTTTAAATAGAAACGTTGTATATATATATATATATATATAGAAACACATTTTGAACAGGTCACATGACAAGACAACTGGCCAATCATCAGTGTGTGCTCACAATTAGCCCTGCCCCATTATGTGATTTTCATACAATATGTTGTTCAGGCTGGAGCAAGACACCGTTTCTTTATCATGTTTTCTTTTGAAACTTGGATGCTCAAACATGCGTTTCACTATACTAAGTTTTGTTATACAATGTTTCTTTATACGGCGTTTAGGCCAAGAAAAAAATAATTACCTATCGTATACAGCTATATGATTCTCGTTTATGTAGTTATCTACATGTATATAATGAATTCTAGTAGTCTGAAAGACTCTGAATGCAGGAAGAGTTTTTCTCAATGTATCAAGCTCGCTTACCTAGAATTATACCCTGTTACATTGTGGTACAAGAATGTCTGTGAAACGTTGGTTTGACCCAGAAAGAAAGTTCAAGTGAAGTCTGAAGCACTTATTGTAGCTGGTGTCGTGTGGTATTAGGATTCATTGTTTTTATGAGACTGACATGGTTATGGGCTTGTATCTGGTTTTGGAAAATTTAGAGGGACTGTTATAGTTTGCATATACATGTAAATATCTGCATCATATCTGTACATATGCTAATATTTTACTCAGATATTGAATTACAATTACAATTCTAGTATACTGCATTCATAGCAAATGTACATGTAGCTGTATAAAACTGTCAAATTTTGATTACTTTTTCTTCTGAATTGAAAGATATTCATTTTTGGAAATATTGATTTACACTTTTCTCTAAAGATTAAAATTCCTACAAGCTTATTTAATTCAAACTCTATATAAATGACAGTTTAAATGATTAATTTTTATTCAGTTATTGCAGTATAAGTTTTAAATCATTTCAAGTGAAAGAAAACTAAATACATAAATGTCAAGTCAGTAATAACTGATAAAGATTGTCAATCAAACCTGGCAATTCTGCAAATACTTGTATTTGCACTCCAGGAGGTATAGTGATAAGAGCAGTTGTATGTCAACACTGATCAATTGCAAAATATATTTGTTGTAGATTGTTATAGTTGTGCACACAATGATGAATGTCTAAATAGAGAAGAGGACGTGTTACCCTGTACCTAAAGGCTATATTCAAAGTTTTGGCAAGTTTTGAAAATTTGATGGACAGTAAATCTTCAAAGTTCTGATATATTTGGATGCCCCTGTGGATGTAATGTAAGCACTAGAAAAAAAACACTTCTGCTTGCGAGAAAATGGATAATAAAAAATTTGTAGGTGCTCCCGGTATATTTCAAATAGTGCCTAAGGCCATTGCATGGTCGCTGCGACCATGAAAATTTCAGAATATGCAGTTTTGATATATAATTTCCAAACAGGAATAACCTATAACCTAATCTATTATTATTTACAATTTCATCACTTTTTAGACTCTATTTCAACCGCTACAACGATCAATGAGTATTGTAAAATCACATATACTTCCAATATATTCATTTGAACTATATTCATGGCCCCATACCAAAACTTTGTATTACCTTTTGCCTTTCAAGTTTTTGGTCAGAATTCTAGGATAAAATGTGTATAATACGGTATGTGCATCTTATTTACCCAGAGTAGCCACATCTGTTTTGATACTGCTCTTCCTGCAGGTTCTGAAATTATTAGCACCCTAGAATTGCCAGTTACCCTATACCTATTATGTTACTTTTAAACAAGTTGAAATCTCTTATTTTCCTCTGTTTTGCTTTAGTAATATGATGGTTTTGCAGTACTTTGGTTCAAACAAACAAGCAAACAAAGAAACTTTTCAATTTGAACGCACACATGGACATCTACATGTATGTAGGACTACATTACAATTGTTCTCAAATATGATGTGGAGGAATGCATGTACTTTTAGCTGCTGTACTGTACTACCAGAGTGTGCTTCAATCGGGTTGTGAGTCTCTCTAATCCAGAAAATGTGAAACAGGTGGGCGTGTACCTGACCTTTTGTAACCATGGTCAGGTTGGGAAAAAAGATACCATGGCAATTACTCTTGAGATATATAATCAGTCAATACTTGTAACCAAGCTCTTGGTTAAGTTCACAATGTCAATGAAAGTCTTGACAATTTAATACTAAATATATATACTCTACTTTCAGTTCTTGATTTGTTGTTGTATACGGACCAGAAAAAAGAGAGGAAAGTTACAATATAAGTTTAGATAGTGAAGGATCGCTTTTCAACTTGAATTAATTGCAACTAGTTTGAATATCAAAGAGGTACAGTACATGTACATGCTCTTTATTATGAAAGTAAGTCGCCTGTGATATCCATAATCCCCAACCCCCCCCCCCCCCTAAAAAGGAAATAAAAAGTGAAGGTCAATTGACTGTTTTGGCCTAAGGACCATATGATGTAAGCCTACATAGTTATGCATTTTTCTGCCTAAAAGAATAATAATGATGATAATGATAATTAGAAATAGGTCAAGAAAATAAAGGATGAGGAGCTCTGTTAGGCCTTTAAAAAAAAAGATGTTGTTATTGCCCTTTAGGTGCCAAACCATGGGTCGGTCGGAAATTGTTTCTTTCTAAAAAACAGTAATTTTTTTTTTAAAAGCCAACCATAGATTTCAAGATTTTTGGGTCGGTCACAAAGGGCAATACAACATCTTTTTCTTTTATGCCTTATATCGGAACAACAGACTTATATGCAGAAAGAATTCAGTTTGAGAAAAAGAATAAGAAAAAGAAGAATGAAGATACTAAATTCTCCTATGTCCAAGTAATTATTGGTAATCATTATGCAAGAATATTTTATGGAACACTTTCTAATTTATATAGCAGAAACAATATTCAAATTAACCTAAATTATTATTATCATTATTTTATTATTTTATCAATTTCTTTATTTTGCATTTGTGATTTGTGTATTATGTTTGTGTTGTATTTTATTACGTTGTAAATTCTGGTGCAAAACACATTTCCACTATTTGTGGACAAGAATAAATAAATTAACAAGTATCATTTTTTTTTTTATTTACATGGACTTTTTTCCTCGTTTTTTCTGAGATAACAATTTTAATAAGATTTGTGTTGTTGTTCATGTCCTGTTTAATATAGACAATGTCAAATAAGGCTAGCGTGGAAGGATTGCAGTCTGATGTGACATCATTACAGTCCTCAAGCCAGGATCTGGTAACCAGGGTTACCAATCTAGAGAATGGTAGCGGAGGAGGTGGAGGGACAAGTCCTGACATTGAGAGACGGGTCAGTATATATAACTCTGTCATATCCTAGTTTCCACACTTTTATCTAAACAAGGAAAGTTAAGTACTGTTTTATGCAGTATTTATATGTATCATGCGTGTTTGATTGTGATTTCTTCTAGTCTTCTTCAGGGAATAAACATCTGTATTTCTTGTCTGCCTTGAGATTTAATCTGCTTAAATCCAGCTCATTAAAAAAAAAATTACATTATAATTTAGACTTACACTTTATACAAAAAAACAGACACACATGATTTTATGTTTTATTTTCATGTGCTACCCGTGATTAGTTGTATGATAAAGCATGGCACAAATATTGTTGAACTTCTTTCTGTTCTGCTTGAATTATGCTGAATTAAAAAAAGAATATATATATATATATATATATATATATATATATACCCGCAAGAATGCTATTTCTACTTTATTTAGAGCTTTCCTTTTTATTTAAAGATAAAGTTGAGTTCTGGTCATGCTATTGCATTGTGAAAGAAACATTGTGGAATCAATCAGAAAAGGTTGATCATCTAGCATATAAGTATTGGTGTGTACCGCAAGGTTCTGGATTCATCAAAATGATAAGAAATTTGGCCCAGTCTTGGTAAAGTTACAAGCAGTGTACACAGAAAGATGTATATGGGACTACACGAACATGTGACATAAAAATCCGTCCCAGATTTTTATGATGTTACACGCCATATTTAGAATATTAAAGCATTTGAACTTTTGAAGAGCCATGCGTCTCAGGGAACATTTTTTATCTGATGTCCTTCCACACTTGCATAATACAATGATAACGCTCACAAATCATTTTTCACCTCTTCCCAGAACTTCCCAGAACTTCCCAGAATGACACAAACTTTTACATGGCTATTGTGTCAGTCTTGTAGTCTACAATATATTCCTTTTATTTTTAATAAAAAGAGGAATGCTAATTGGAAGTTCTAATCAAAACTATTCCTTCAGTTACATTTTTAGGCATTTACATCTTTACTCTATTCAAATTGTAAGACAATGAATAACATTCATAAAACAATAATATTTCAATTATGTTGTTACATATCTAGTGTAAAATGGTATTCTCAATCTTGAATGTTTTGTCTTCATTCTGCCTTTCAGGTATCAGATTTGGAAGAAAATTACAATGTAAGTAAATATTCATATTGTCATTTATTAAAGAAAAGTCTTTGTAATATACATGTACATGTACTTACTTTATCATAGTATTCATAATGAATTTATGATAGTTCTACATACATACATGTATTATGAATATAAGCACATTCTGTGTACTATTTATTTTTAACACTGCAAATTATGATGTACATTGTATTATCCTGCAACCCAAACACTCAAGACTGATCGTGTCTTGAAGGAGGGAAACATTCATTTATGAACATTATCAAAATACCATGTTTAGGAATGAAATAAACTTATTTCAAACATATCTTACACCTGAAAACTTTATGAAAATGATTGGTGAAATTCTAGATATTATCAATTAAAGTTGACAAATGTGTCTGTTTTAAAAACCGGTATAGGATGTACATGTATAGGCCTGTAGGCAAGTAATATTGATGTTTTGAAAATAACCTGCCTCCTCGTTGAACAAAAGGTCCAATTATTTTGTTGAAGATCATGATTTAATACTTATAAATTGGCTCCGCTTGTGTTTTTTATAGTGTTTGTCATTTTTAGTAAAGCAGATATATTACTATATTGTGGACCATATTGTGCATGTCTTTTGAAGTGCAAGAAAAAAGTGCTCTACCAAAACTATGTGGATTCAATTGGATGGATTTGATTGCAAGTGCACATATCATCTAGCACTCACCTTCTACTGTTACTCCTAATACATTGCTGGTACTGTATTGTTAACTTGATGTCATATTTTATGGTTCACAGCTTCTGACTATCAATGAATGCTCAAGCAATCCTTGCAGAAATGGTGGCACCTGTATTGATATGTATAACAAGTTCATGTGCCTGTGTACATCTGCATGGCAGGTAAGTTAAATATGATCTAAACAATGTAATTCCTGACTTCTAGTACAGTGTAAGTCAACCCACTCATACATTTTAATTGAATATATGTAAGTTTAGTTTGAGGTTTTAAACTTTGAGTTTTTCTTGTAGCACTATCCAGATGCTCTCATGGTTGCAAAACTTTAGTTTGCTCAAAGATATGAACCATAAGCATTCTTATGTTTTACGGTTTACAAGATAACTACCAGGGGGGGGGGGGGGGCTCATTCAAAAGTATGTGCTTTGCAGACACAATGCAGCTTGAGGCTTTGCCAGCTTGTACATGTACTCTACAATGACAGCTTACTCAATTTGTAGTTTGAAACTGTTTCTGTCTTGTGTGAACCATCATCATTTTTAGTAGATCATTGTTTAAAACGTCATGGTTTTGCAAACTGTTAAACTACGACAGTGTATGGCAATTTCCCCTGATGTATCCTTTGGTTAACCCAAGAACAAACTAAACATTCTGAACCTATTGCATTGTCTTGAGGAACCGAATGGTTCCTGTATTAAGCTTAAGGCAAGGTTCGACACTAACAGGCACCCAGGACACATGGGCACCCAAAATCCAAGTCAGGGTCTTCAAAAATTTGCAATTTCTACATAAGGCTCATGCGTACAGATTGCAAAAACTTCAATCCAGACCACCTCCCCAAAACTTAGTGTGGAGCCCTGCCTATAGTAGTTCACAAAATTCAGGAGTCATCAGGTTTTATCAAGCACTGATTTTAACAAGGATTACTCCTTTGATAAAGGCATTACAAATACCAGTACAGCCAGACTAAGTGATTGGTATCCCCAGACCCCAGGTTAGGTTGTAACCAATTCAATTATTTCCATCCCCTTGGCTAAATACAGGATTCTCTAGGTTCTTGTAACAAGTTTCCCTTGAATTTTGAAGATGGGTACTAAACAAAACAAAGATTGCAGGCAAATACTCTTGTCAGTCGTAGTGCGTAACCGAGTGTCTGAACTAAGAGACTGTGCCAATTGCCAACTACATGGTTTAGTAAACCCCATAGGCTAGGCTCTGCTCCAGTTTCAAATTATAGTCTGTGTCTGTAGACCAAACAAAACACATGCACAATCCACCCCTATCCTTTATGTTTTTATGTACATGTATGGATAATTTGTACCGGTATTCATTGAAATAAAGATGATTTTGGACTCCGATTTTGGAGTGTGCATGTGTACATGTGAGTAGACTATTCAGTTATGCAAATCCTTCATTTTACATAAGAAGAGATTTTGTGTTACAAGATCTATGTTTAAGTTCTATAACATGTCTCTTATATATATATATACATGTAGTTTAGCTAGACTGAGTGAGAGGGGTGTAACATTTAGGTAAGTCACTTCCCTGGCTGATGTACATTGTACATCAAGGTATGCGATAAAAGGTGTTTGGTTACTTTATACATACATTTGGTAACATAAGGATAAACAAAATTTGATACATTCAACAGAGATGATGCAAGTTTAATGAACTTTAATAACAATATGCATTCACCCGTCATATTAATTCATTTGCTCTTATAATTGAAGGACATTATATACTTAAACCTGGCTGTCGAAGTGGCCCCCCTCTCCGCTTGCCTACTATGATCATTTATTCTGTGTAAAAAAATATACATTAATTTCTGTTTCATGGGAAGTCTGGCTTTAATTGGTGGGATAAAGTGCAATTTTTCTATTTTTTTTCCCTCTATTTTTTCTATTTTTTAAAACTAGGTTTCTTTTAATGCTTCTTTTTGTTGTTTTCACTGACACTTTGTATATATCGTCTTTGTTTTCACGAAGTGACGGTAGTGAGGAAAATCGTAACGCAAAATGAATACAATTTTTTTTTCACTACCGTCACTTCGTGAAAACAGCGACGATATATTGCCACCATCTCCATTATAGGAGTGAATGGTACTATAATCTGTGTTCATGGACATATATCACCAACTTTTTACTGTTTCCCTTTATTTAGGTGGCCGCTATTCACAATCTACTTTAAGCTTTGAATAAGTTTTCTTTCATGACAGTGTAAATGATTTTTTGAAAATCATTTAATTGTTAAAGTAGATATTCATTGATTTTAAATCTAGCTTTATTGTCATTATTGCAAAGTTGAAACTTTGAATTGACAAGGTTGTCAAAATTCAATGCTTGGAAACATTCGAAGTAATGATTATTATAAATTACAAAACGCTTAAATACAGCCCCGGCATAGCACCTGAATAGCTCTCCGAACGCTGCTGAGATGTGTGAGATCACATCAGGGACATGATTTGCACAAGCAGACGATGTCCCATGACATCTCACACATTTTCAGTGCCTGTGTTTTCATCTTATCTTGAGTTCTCTCTCTTACTTCACTACCGTCAGGCTAAATGTATAATATATTGCCTCACTCTAAACCCCGCGCATGGTTTTATTTTGATGACAAATGCAGCGATACAAAAATAAAGGAATCTGTCGCTTGTAAACAAAATGAGACGCCATTGTACATTCAGCTACAGACACCGCGGTATGTTCGGCGTTTTAAGAGGGAACAAATGCCGTCCTTAATATCAATCCGGGGGCTTTTCAATTTGAAAGTCTGGTTTCTTTGATTGTTAATTAACCCCTATCCTGTGTATTTACAAGCAAAAGATTTTAGTTATCAGAATCGGGTCATGTCCCCTTTTGATCGGTTTGACGTGCCAGTACATTTATATACACTAAACTCATTATAATTTGACAAATAATAGCTTTGCAATTATGTTCATTCTTTATGGGATGTCGTCTGCTTGGGCAGTATTGATCCCTGTTGTGACGTCATTAAAACATCGTTATTTTTCTGGCAAATCTCTCGTATATTCCAGCTGCTATGGAGGTGGTTGTATTTTTATTTTTATAAATCACCCGATATGTAGCTGACCTCAATCTTGTACGATGGTCATCTGTTAGCTTACCAGTTTCTAGTGATACATTAGTTGACATATTTGTGATTTTCTTTGAATTTCACCTTTAAGTTTTTCCCAATATGAAGCTAATGTTTAATATTGTGACGTACTCAGCTATATCACTAACTAGCAGATAAATTGGGTTAGTGCTTCATATTATTATTGGGTTGGCATTGACATAATTAAGCAAGAGATTTTTACATTGGTTTTAAATTGATCACCCCATAAAGATCTTCCAAGGCTTTTCAATCTAAAACGAGATCAAGGGGCGATGAAATGGTTCTATTCGAGACATTTTTTAATGGTTCTATTTGAGACATTTTGTACCATTATAGCATGTTTTAGTGATGTAAGTGATCATTGTAATGTTTACTTTCCTGGGTCATTATCTCCCTATGCTCGTATAACAATGAAACTTTATGTGTTTGTTTCTCTGTAAAAGAGGACAGGAGCTGGCTACTTATTATCAAGAGGTCTATTTGTTCAAGCACCTCCCTATGTGTAACCTGTCTTGCATTATTCATGGACCAGAAAACATTAATTTACCAGTTTATATCAAAACACTGTGCAGACATCAGGAGAATGTTAACCATTCATACCTTTAAATATAATCCAAGACTTATTATTCAGATTATTTTGAATTTTTGAATTGTAATATGTTCATGTTTATGTATTGTCCTGTGATTTTTATGTTATTTTGTAATCTTATTATGTTTGTCATTTGTAAACTTTGAAAAGACCGATTGTTCTCTCTTATCTCATTCTACTTATTGTATTTAACATAACCAACTATTTAGTCAGTCTGTTGCCCATCAGATAATTATACCAAATAGTACAGCTTTATATTCAGGTTGGACCTAACTTCAAATTGCCTCTTTTTATAACACAGAATTTATATTTTCATTAATTTCTCAAAGTGATTTGGCAGCAAAAGGGATACGTGTAGGGGCCTTACTACCTTCTTTTAATCTTGGCCTAATTTGAAAATAAGAAAATATCAAGCAGGACTTAATGTAAAATTTAGTTCTCTCTAATGCCAAAATTTGTAGAAGGGACCGTTTGAGGGACCCAATAATTTGCTCCGTTCCCCCCCTCCCCCCCCCCCCCCCCTGCCCACCTCTGACATAAATTTAGTGTAGAGGCGAGCCCGGCAATATATGGCTATCTTTATATTTATATAACTACATGCATTATATAACAATGAAAATACAATGAAAAATTCAAGTTGTTACCCGCACGGAAGGGTACTGATCTCTTTTTGTTGTTTTGTTAAATTTTCAATAATCGGGTTGGGTACCAGCTATTACAGTGTCAGTAGTCACTATCAACCAATTTATTACTTACCCATAACAGGTACCTACAGGTACCTATTCTTAATTACCTCACTTCAAGATTGAAAAACCACTAATCAGTGTAGTGATACTGGTTTGTTTGCTAGGTGCTGTAAAAGATCCCTTCTTAGCAAAGAGCGCTCCAGGCCTTGAGAGGTAATTCTCTCTGTCTTATCGGTCAAGATTGAAGAACAAAGATATCAGGGGTTTGCTTAGATTTTCGGTTTAACATCTTCACATTGAATTATCTTTAATCAAAATCAAGCAAACTTGGTAGTGTGCTATAGATTGTAATAAGTTATAGGAACAGTCATTCCATACCGTGATGCATAAACATACATTAGAATTGTTGTCGACTCTGTTTGTACAAATGTACTGGGCATCTTGGAATTTGTGTTGCTTTAAAATTAATGTTAAAGAGAAGGTTGAGTTCTGGGAAGAGGTGAAAAATAATTTGTGAGCATTACTCATTCTTATTATGCAAGTGTTTAAGAACATCAGTTAAGACATGTTCCCTGAAAAGCATGGCTCTTCAAATGCCTTCATATTCTAAATATGCATGTAACATCGTAAAAATCGGGGGGGGGGGGGGGCCGGCTTTTTACGCCACGTGTTCGTGTAGTCCCATATACATCTTTCTGTGCAAGTGTTTGTAACTTTACCAAGACTTGGCCAAATTTCTTATCATTTTGATGATTCCAGAACCTTGCAATACACACAAATTCTTAGATGCTAGATGATCAACCTTTTCTGGTCGGTTCCACACCGTTTCTTTCACAATGCAATCGCATGACCAGAACTCAACTTCATCTTTAACCCATGGCCTACAGGGATGGCTCCTGTGATAAAGCCTATAGGGTGAGAAAAATATGTAGTCAGTGACTTAATCTGACTTGTTTTTAAAACAAAATTTGCACTGAGATTTTCATCCAAAATGCTTGTAAGTTTTAAAAAATAATTTTAAGAAGGGCTGAAAGAAGATGTTTTATGTTTTTCTCTTCAGTCAAGATGAAATTTACTACAAAATAAATTATAATTTGAATTTGAATTGTGACCACTATTGGCCCTTTGATGAGATGACTAGTTGCCAACCAGTGATTTAGAGGTACTCTACATCAACTCTGAATTTGGGGATACATTTCATTGCCAACTTACCTAGTCAGGTTTTGTGAATAACTGACAAATAAAATAGATTTAGTTGATAACTGTAGACCATTTAATTGCCAACTAGGCTTTATGCATAGGGCCTAGATGCAAACTATAAGTTAGTAAGTTTTTATGAATATGGGCTCTAGTTGTCAAAAGCTCACCTGTTACAGCCCTCAGCAGGCAACAACAGTGTGTAGGATTGGAGAGTCACCCCACCCCCCCCCCCCCCCACACACACACACTTCATTTTTTTTAATCACAAGTAATCACAGAAAGTAAAGAAATGTTTGGGTTTCATGTTAGTCCACTTTCACCCTGGTTTTTGTGTGTTTTTACTCGGCTAGTTTATCCTCATGAATATTCACAGAGGTGAAATTCCTCCACTTCCAGACTCACATGAAAGGATTCTGTTGAAGGATGTAAACATACTGGTAAGAAACAATAATCTGCTTACCATGCCAAATGGTTGGATGGAAAGAAGGAATATATGGCCAGAGAGAATACAGTATACCTGTAGTACAAATATTACAGTCACATTTTTAGTGGCACCTCCCTATAGACTACCAAAGTGCTAACGTGGTATTCGCCCTTCGTCCAGGTTCGTGGTTCTAATGTGTGCAAATCATTCAAGCAACTGGAGCAGGGCAAATGTAGTGTTAGGGGCTGGTGTGATCACCACACCATTGTTTGACAATTTGGCCAGTATTTAATGTCTGTACTCACCAATATTATCCCCCTCTCCATGGCGAAAAGATATATAGAACCTGTCTAGAAAGGTGACCTGTCTGCAGGTGCCACTCTCTCTGTTTAGCTTAATATACAGGTTTCATTTGAATGGATTTTACAATGAAGTGGCTAATGTTATTCTATATAAAAGGATATACATGTATGTAGTGCCCAATGCCCATTCCACTAAAATTTCCATGGTTTTAGACAACCTTGAAGTTTTACAAATGTTGCATAAAGTTTTACTTAGGATATTTTGTTTCTGAATATCATTAGTAAAACATTTTTTCCCCTGATATGTTTAATAGATAATGATAAAGGGTACATGATGTAGAAATAAATTTTGACAAGTAACCATTTCTTTGCATGGTCAAACTTGTGTACTCTGTTTGTCTAGCATATATATTGAATGCAACTTTCTTCTTTGTGGATATTCAAATCTATAGATTTGTAAGACTGCTTATCTCGTGTGGAAGTGGATCTTCTCTTATATCAAAGGTGTATTGTCATCACAAGTCTTTCTTATCTCAATTGTTGAATTATCTTTCAACCCTCACCTCTTTTGTGACCTCAGTGGGAAAAAAAAATGCCATATTTGAAGGATCATCAAATAGTGTACCTATGAATGACTTTCAATTCTCTTTCATAGCCTTTCCTGTATGTTTGTGTTCATACACTCAGCAAAATAGTGGACACTATTTATGATTAAGATTTTCAAATAAATATGTACTATAAACTTTCATATATCAAAATAAACATAAAGTTATCCTCTTTTAAGATGATATACAGTTGGATTCATAATATTCATGCATGAGTGAGCAACCGAGCATAGCAATTTAACAATAAATAAATGCCATAAAGAAAAATCTGGTTATTCAAATAAATGTAGTTGATCATTTTTCATCTTGTAGAGTCAAATTAAAACAATGGTAAAGAAAATATTGACAAGATACATGATAGGAGGGGCATCTTGACCTTGCTTGTCAAAAGCATGCAGTCCTGAGACTACAGTTGACATCAAGAGCTCAATCCTCCTCTTTGTTTCCCATTGAGCCCGTCCAATCGTTGTTAATTTCCCTTTAATTTGATATATATTTTGTTATATTTTATCAACGTTTTTGGGGGAAATTTTGAACAGTAGACAATGTCCATTTCTTTTTTTGTTGCTGAGTGTATGTATCCAGCCAGTGTTTTTTTTTAAAGTCTTCTACATTGTACCCATTTGGTCTATCACTCATTTGGTCTAATCGCCAGTCGGCCCACTTCCCAGTTTGTCTAATGCCCATTTGTCTACCATCCATCATTTAATCATGAATAATAATGATCATCAAATGATTATTGGACCTTATTTATGGTAGACGAAATGGGCATTAGACAAACTGGAAATCAGGCTAATGGGTTATTAGACTATATGAACAATTATAAACAATAGAGGAAATGGATAGTAGACTAAGAGGTGATTAGACTAACTGGTTGTAGGACTTGTAAACCAAACAGCAATTCCCCATAGGTTAGATATGTATGAACATGTATATGTCTTCAGGGGACTGTTCAGTACATGGTTTAGTTTACAATAATTACCATACAATACAGTTTGAAGGCCTAAATGTGTTTACATTGACTAAGTTGTGCTTGTACTTGTTTTATCCCAACAGGGTACTTTATGTGAACAGGACTTCAATGAATGCAGTGTTATCGTTGGAACTGTCAATGATTGTCAGAATGGAGGCACATGTATGAACACACCAGGTGGATACAGGTAAGAGGACCCTATTGTTTAGTGTTATATTCAGATAGTAAATTCTGTTTGAATTTTTCGCAGGTGTGATTACCCTAGAAAGATACAGAGATAAAAGAGCATTGATGTGAATAGCACATTATTTAGGCTGTAATTGTTGTCAGGACTTAAGTGTTACTATTAGATTTTATTTTTCTGAGTTATGGCTCCAGGTAGGACAGACATCACTTTGAAAGGGACTTCAATGAAACATTTTTGAGCATACATTGGTGTATATGCTTGTTTGTAAAGCTAAATTAATCCTCTCTATGCTCATGCTCTATTTGTTTAAAGTACTGGTAACATAAATATATCAAATGCTGAAATCTTTAGTCTTTGAAATGTTGTCTGCATTACAATGTTGTATACATGTATTTGATATTTCTAGAAATTTGATCAGACAATACATCATTTTAATTTCTAACTTTTCAAAATTCTTTTCATCATGAAACCTGCAGTTGTGACTGTACAGCAGACTTCTATGGGTCTCTATGTACTATGCAATATGACGACTGTGCATCCAACTCTGTTGCTAATGTTTGTGATCATGGATATTGTGTCAACCTCCCGAGAGTACAGACAGGCGTGGTAGGTTGACTATTACTATCATTCTTATTTTATTCTGAAGGTATTCTGGAAATTCATCAGTTGTATGATAAATATATGGTATATGAGATATTTTTGGTCCATCAGAATAGTGTGTACCAGTAATGAAGTAGGAACCACAAAACTGTTATTTAATGTTCAACCTTTGTTACTACTGAATCAGGAGTTATTAATGAACAATGCTTGATGTGCACAAACCCATACTACCCTTGATCTTACTTGTGCATTTCCCTGTTAATCTTGCAGTATATCATATCTGTAAAATTTTGTTTGATAATCTTGTTAAGATTCTAGTACATTGTAGATTTGTTCTATCTCATTGATTTTACACTGTGTTACATGCACTTTGTGTTTTAATGAAAAACTCCCATTTTTCATCTGAATGTTTAACAATTTTCAGAACAACTGCATAGATTTTCTCAATAGACAAGAAGACTTTTCCACAGATCTTCAGGACCAGCATTTTCATGAAAACTTACAGTATGATCATCGTATGTATTTATTAATGGTTAGAAAGACTTTCAGGATAGCCACATTATATTGTCCACAATTTGTACCATTGATTCTCAGACTCGATTTGACTGTATCTGTTCGGACGGCTGGGATAAGGTCAGTGCATCTAATCCAGCTTGTAGTGCTGACATTGATGAGTGTTCAGCAGACAAGTATCCCTGTTCCGCCAACCCTCGAGTCAGCTGTACCAATGTGGATGGAACATACTACTGTGGAAACTGTCCTGCAGGTAAAGTTTACACTGCTATGTAAAAAATGCATGGTGCTTAAAATCTAAGAATGCCTTATACTGCTAAAATGTTATTTAGTAGTTTCGATAAAGCATGTTTTCTTTTATCAAACAAGGATTGCATTTCATTTTATTTTGATATGTTGGACATCAATTCAAAATCAAATCTAATCTTAAAGTGACATGGTTTTTTATTCAATTGTTCTCAAACAAGATTTGCATTTGCATGATGTTGCTATGTCAGACAAAATTTGATTAATTTTTTTTAAATATGATAAATACACATAATGCAAATCAAATCAAATCTAATGCAAATCTACTGCAAATATCAAGTGAAGCATATGGACCAATGTACGATTACTGCACACAAGTCATTTTAAAGGGGGCATAGATGATGATCCAATCAACATGTGTTAATTCTTCTCCCTCTTTCCTAGGTTACGATGGGAATGGTCACCAGTGTACTGACATGAATGAATGCTTGATTAACAATGGAGGATGCTCTCAGATGGTAACATGTTCAAACACAGATGGCTCTAGATCATGTGGGCCATGCCCAGCAGGTATTCAATACACTACATGTCTTTTAAATTACATCGTGAAGTAATTTTACAGCTTAATATTTGAGCAATTGGCATAGTGAGATATTTGTATGAAATGTTCAAATTTGCAATCGATGTTGTATTGTTTGAGCTATATGAAAGTGGATTCAAAATAGCCATATTTATCTCATTTGGATTTTGATACAAATTGTATCATTCATTTATTATTTGAATTCTATATTGTTATGATTTTAAAAAGTTGTCATTAAATACATAGTTAATAAACAAATTGTAAACATTGCATAATTATTCCTTGGTCTACTGCCTTGTAAGTTTTATATCAATAAACTGACATTTAATTAACATTGAATTGAATTGAATTACATTCAACCTCTCTGTAATAGCCACCAAAATAGATTGCTTACATTTACCTGCATTAGAGCAGTTATTTAGTAATCATATATCTTACATAACACTTCTTAGATAGACTACCTGAGCCTAAAAGCAAATTTGCTTGAAGTCGATGGCAGTCTGTGAACACAGATTTGAGTTGGCGCTATACACACTCCTTCAGAAGATCTTCACATTTGGTCTATTGGTGTTTAACTCCATAGAAAAAGTCAATACAATTTTAGGCATGGGTTATCAAATACCGTTTTAGGGTTAGTTGGTCCTGAACTAAACTTAATGCTATTGAGAAGAAATTGGTTGATTATGTATGTACATATTTTCATATATAGCTAAGCATTAAGATATTTCCTACTATCTATCACTGTGAAAATTGATAAAGGTATTTTAGATATAATAAACACATTATACACCCCAAAAACACCAAAAAACCTGCTATTCAGTTTTAAAAACTAGAGGTACATGTAGATAACACTTTTTATGTTTCTACGTGTCATTGTAGACATTGATCATTACTACTGAATTATTGTAGATTATGATATCTAAGAGAATTTCATGTTTTATTATTCAAAGCGATTATTACAAATCTTACAGCAGTTACAGTATTATTTTTTTTGAAAAATGTAGTTGATGTCTTGGCTGAGGAAATGAGCAAATAATAATGATAATGATATTTAACCAGGAAAAGGTCATCTGTATTACTACTCTTCTCCCTTAGTTCCTTTCAATCATATTATTTTCATGGTTAATGTTTATGGGTTTAAAGCCATACTGTATTAGAAGCACTACCGCAAAATCCCTTCTAGCGCCATCTCAGGTCAGCTGTAGCTGTATGGTCCCGTAACTCGATGCTTCCCTAGCTGCCGTTTGTTTTCGCATCGAGTGCTCTGTCTGCGAAATGGAAATTATTTATTGTTACGCATTGTTGGCAAGTTTACAATGGGATGGTGCTGTGCAGTAAACAGTACGCTAGGGTAGAAAGTTGATCAGTTCAGTATCGCTTTAAGGTTCCATTGAGTTACCCCTGCTAATGTGCTTTCTCTCTGCATGGTCTAGGTTATATTGGAGATGGGGTGACATGCACATATGTAGGTATCTGCAATGTTAATAATGGTGGATGTGACCCAATAGCAACCTGTCAAGAAAACACAGGTGAGCATTCTCAAGAATGGCACTCATATTAAATGATTTGTTTAAGAGTTTAGATGCCCAATATTTAATTTTAACTTGGTTTTATGTACATCTGCATGTGTATTCTAATATCTTGAAATTCACACAAGCTTGATTATTGTCTAGAGGAGATCTATTTACAAATATGTTATTCTTTTATTTTGCTTGGTTTTACTGTTTCAAATTAAGTTAAATATTTTAGATAGAGATTATGATTTCAAAGCCATATTGTCAGCCCTATTGTCACTTGTAAGCTAGAAGTGCATTAACTCATCACTTGATTTAGAGTTGAAACTCACCTGGCTCTAAACAGCAGAAGGTATATTCCACAGAGGAAAGTTCATGCAAAGCCGGTCACAGTATAAAATGACAATATTTGGATTACAGGTGTTCCAGATGGTCGCACATGTACCTGCCCCAGTGGAAAAACAGGCTCAGGAATCGGTGATGGGGGTTGCAGCTCCTCGGGCACCTCCTGTAATGATAATCCCTGCGTTAACGGACGATGTGAGTACACTGGCAGTGGGTACAGGTGTATCTGCGATCCTGGGTGGACGGGAACGAACTGCGATGTGAACGTCAATGACTGCTCGACCAACCCCTGTCAAAATGGAGGCACATGTACGGATGGTGTCAATGGGTTTGTCTGCCAGTGTCCCAGCGGCTGGACTGGAGATACCTGCTCAGAAACAAGTGTTGGTAAGGTCATCCTATGATATGCTTTTTTGCTCCTCGGCAGATTATTTTACTTTCTGTTTAAAAAAAAAAAATTCAACTAGCATTATACAGATGATTTTATGACAATTAAAGATGGTGTCAATTTCTCATGCAGCGCATACTACTGTGTAAAGTCTCCTATCTACTAATTTGTTAACCCTTACTGTACTGGGGGGGGGGGGGGCCTGGGAGGCCCCCCCTCGACATTTTCGGAGATCGCGCCGCAACCGCTCGGAATTTCGAATTGTCGTTTCATGACTTTTTTCCCTCAAGTCTTACGCCCATTTTGATACCATTTTCGTCAAAATCGGATATACCTGTAAGGTGTTACATAATAATTAGTATGCGCATGTCATCAAAAAAGTGCTATAATTGCATATATTCATGTACAAGCAGAAATGTGAAGATATGAATTGATATCAAATTGCCTTTATATGTTTCTCAAAGTAATTTGATGTATTTCAGAACAAAAGAATACATTAGAAATAAAACAATAGATATAATAAGAAATAAAAAACAATGAAATACATAAGAAAATAAATAGTTGAAAATCGCATCAAATTTACATAAATTATCATTATTAATTACATCAAATAACTATTTTGTGTTAGAAAAGAAGTTTCATATGAATAATGAGTTTCAACATTACAAAAGTGGAGTCTGACAATTTTTGTAATGATTCTAGTTCCCTGTATATTTCTACATTAGATATTCATGAATTTTACGTAATTTGCGTATTCATAATTTATGCAAATTAACCTATGCATTTTCAAATATTATAAAAATAATGAAACCTCATGAATTTGAGATGAAGGAAACATTTATTCAATACATTTTCAAGATTCTTCACAAGTCTACGGACAAATATGTAGAGTTTTCTGTAAAATGCATAAAATTAGCATTTTGCATAATTAATTAGGCTATAACGACAAAAATTTGCATAGTAGGAAAAAACTAATTATACCATCTTGTTCCTTACGTAAATATCTACAAACATGCAAATTTTCGCGTTCATCGGACATTCGACGACCAAGATCATAGGGGGGGGGGGCCTCCCAGGCCCCCCCCCCCCCAGTCAGAGAGTGCTCGAAATAGCCCAGTACAGTAAGGGTTAAAGGGAAATTTTACACTACAGTTAGAATGCCATTGTTAAACTACACTGTAGACTGAGCTTAAACCTAGCATCTGCTCTAGGTCATAGTAGAATATGGGCCTAAATGTTTAACAAAGCACTGCATCTAATATAAGTTGAAAAGTAACTTCCAGTAGTAGAGCCTTATTATTCATGACTTTCTACGATAATTTCTTTTTTCTCTTAGCCTGTGGAGCATTCCTGAGTGGTATCTCTGGTTCCTTTGAATTCCCTGGAGAGGGGCAGTTATACCCTCATGGAGTCAGCTGTGCTTGGGTTATTGATACTGATGATGACAAGGTAAATGCATGTATTGGACAGCATATATACACTATTTCTTTTCAGCTCCACTGATAAGGCAACAGGTTATTGGTGCTTGACAATTTTCCAAGCTGGAGTGGATTATCATATTGTGTTATAAGATGTAAACCAGTGCAAGAGTTTCATTTTCGTAAAATGTGCAATTGCATTTGGTTTAAACCCAAGTGCTAAAACCTCAATGTCCACATAAATTTTATGTTATTTTAGTTGAAATTTATTGTAGATTTAATATGGTAATTTGCCCTTGGACCTCTGTAGTGCTGGCTGTAATCATATCGAGCTGTATCTCTTCCTTTTGCTCTATAAGATAATACATTTCAAATTTCTATTCATATGTGTCTAAAATGACAGAACAGTTTTTACTTTGGTATAATGCTCATGATCATATGATAATATTAAGATGGGATCTTTAGGGGTGCTGAAACTAAATTCAAAATGTTTTATGAAATATGAATTGAACCACATTAAATTAGTTTAGGAATGAGTGTTTTAAGAGATCTTCTGAAAATGGTAATACAATTTATTTCTGACATTCACAGTGGGATGTTTCAGATTTGTATATGACTTTTGTCAACCATATTTGAGTCGAGGATAGTGAGGATTTCAGAAGTAGTAAGATCTTTGAATCTTCTATTACAGGTAATAAACCTCTACTTTGAGCGATTTAACATTGAAGAACACCCAGACTGCATTTATGACTTCCTCCAAATTAACGATGGGTCTTCTGCATCAGCAAACCCAATTGGAAAGTACTGTGGCTCGAACCCTCCTGCCAATATCACATCTACCCATGACACACTCTACATCTGGTTCTTTAGTGATATCAGTGTCAATAGTGGAGGCTTTAAGATCCTATGGAATGCTAGAGATCCAGGTGAGTTGCACATTTGTTACATCCAAGTTATTTTTAAAGAATCATATGTCTGCACCAGGTATGGGAATTTCAAACAGTCTTTGATGAGCTAGTGAATGAATATTTTTCTAGGTGCCATACAAAAGTGCAGTAACGTTTGGTGCTGTATTTTTCTGGGAGGTTGAGGCTTTTTGATGTGATTACTCTCAGCTGTTAACAGTAACAACACATACACCGTGATACCTTAAGTGGCTATTGTGAGCAGTTGCACAATACAAAAAAACACAACAGAATTTGCCTCATGAATAGTTGTTAATGATAATGATGTATGTATGATAGTTCTGTTTTCTTCTGCTATGTCTCCTTTCTTTGTGTTATGACCAGTGTGTGGTGGCCCTCTCATTGGTGCTAACCATGGCAATCTACAGTCACCTGGTTACCCTGGTGATTACCCAGTCAACCGTGACTGTGTCTGGACTATCACCGTGGATGCTGGACGTTATATCACCCTTGCATTCGGCGATCTTCACTTAGAGTCTCATCCTTCATGTGACTATGACTACCTCAGGGTAAGCAGAATTCTGGTTGTCATGAGAGCAATGTTTCATAAACCTTCCTAAGTACAAGTTTGCTGACATCCTAAGGATATATGTGTAGTAAAATTTTAAGGCGTTTTAATGATGTGATGGTTTCGGGATATGACACCCAGACTTCTTTTTACCAATGTTCTTTATAGATGACATCTTGTTAGCGAATATCAAGTCATGAATATTGTGTAGTCTGAACCATTTTGTAAATTCAATCTCAGAAACATTAACAAACATGTGAATGTTAATATATGCTTCCATAGATCATTGATGGCTTGAATGAAGCTGATCCTTTGCTAGGAACGTATTGCAACAGTCAAACACCTCCTCCTGTTGATACGACTGGACCTTATGCTTTCATCCGTTTCCATAGCGATGCATCAGCAACAGATACTGGCTTCCAGCTCACTTACACTTCTAGTCAAAGTAAGAATTTGGGTGTTTCCGAGAAGATATTAAAACAGATTTAATTAAAAATTCTTGATTTATGAGAGTGCTTTTAATTGTCATGTTCAAATATTTTATTTTAATATTGCCAAAGCAGGCTTCCTGTGTAGAAGCTAACAGTATACATTTAGTCCTGGTTTTCTTGATATATAAGCATTGAAAATGTATTTCTGATTTCTAAAGGATATTGTATAATGTACCCTTTTATATGTCTGTCTTTGATAGTCTAAGCTATGAAAGTCACTTTCTTTGATTATTAAATGAATAAAACTTTTGAAGATCTTTTTCACCCCATTGATTTAATCTGTTTTAGATATGAAAAACCTCATTAAAAGTATTACATATGGATTCAGTTCTTGTTATAGGTTTTACCGTACAAATTGTCTCTTTTAGTTGTTGTTGACATCTCCATCAAGCTCCCACAATTCAAAATTCAATTCAGTTCAAACTTTCAGTATCTTATTTATATTTACCACTCCTATTTCATCTTCAGCATTTTATTCAGATTGTGCATTACAATAGATACTGTTTTGTTAGTTTGTTCTATGTCCATTTAGCCTAAGGCATGTGAAATTCTGTTGTCAAAAAGATGAAATCCATTCATTTCTACAACTGTAATCATTTTCACTCACATTGCTCCACAGTTGATGCTGGTTGTGGAGGAGCCCTGACTGCTGATACCGGTATCATCATCTCTCCTAACTACCCAAACCCATACAACCACAACCAGCAATGTATCTGGACCATCCAAGTCCCATCTACAGAGGTCATCACATTTACTATTACTGACCTACTTATTGAAGAGTCAACCAACTGTGATTTTGACTATGTTGAGGTAAGGAATGGTGAAATATTTAGGAATGATAGTGGTGGTGGTGATCGTGATGGTGGTAGTGATCATGATGGTGGTGATGATTGTGGTGGTGGTGATGATGATGATGATGTTAGTAGTAGGAGGAGGGGGGAGAAGAAAGGGTGGAGGAGGTTCCCACAGAAGGAAATACCTGAAAAATCATAAAAAATAAATTCTTCTCGAAAGTCATGGAAATGAAAAAAAATCTCCCTAGATCATGGAAGGTCATGGAAATTGAGTGTTTGCCCTGTGTGGCTAGCCTTCCGGTTTGAACAGACAAAGTGCATTCAAGCATTGATAACATCACTGATTTGAATCCCTATTCCAAAACTGCAATGGAGGGGGAGAAGGAGGAAGAGGAGACAAGGAGAAGGGAAGGAGAGGAGGAGAATAAGGAGGAGGCAGTTATGGTGAAGTAAAGGTAGCAATGGTAGTAGCTACATAAAGACATAAGCCTCCAAATCTCTCCTTCATTTTGGGGAGTTTGTACCGATAAATAATGAAGGAATTACTTCAATACAAACACATTCTCTTTCCGTAGATGCGAGATGGATTCAATGAGAACTCTCCGTTCATTGGTCGTTACTGCCGTTCTGCTGACATACCAGGTCCAATCACTTCATCTTCAAACACTATGTGGATCCTGTTCCAATCAGATTCATCTGTCAATGCAGGAGGTTTCAGAGCTACCTATGAAGTTGGTAAGGATTCACAATTATATCCATGATACTAGGATGAATTTAAAGCGCTTGTTGTATCCTACTTTAAAGAAAAAATCCTAGTTAAGGGATTAACCAAGATGGCTTTCATGACATAAAATAGGTCTACCATGAAAAATGATGTTTCAATTGCGATGATGTCATACATTCAAAGCTATTGATAGGCATACAGCAATTTCGCCCCCTTCTGAATCTAGTCACTGTGGTCGTTCTAGCTTTAGACAAAAATGATGAGTTGATAATTATTCCCAGATTTTTTCTGTATAGTTAACACTTTTAAGTTTTTAATTTGTTGATGAGGGATATTAATCAATCATACCATGCACTCTGGCGTATTTGAAATTATCAATTTGGTTAGTGTAGGATATTAAGTAGAGAGCACCTGTTGCTACAGTATGTGTCCAACAAACTACTATTTCAAGATTTATGTTGCATTTGCAAATTCTCTCAACTGGACATAATGAATTGATTTGTTCTCCTGACAGCTTGTGGAGGTTTATACACGGCTCCTGCTGGTACTATCTTCTCTCCATACTTCCCCAACGCCTACCCTCATGAGAGGACATGCGAGTATGTCATCACCGCTGGAGATAACCAGGTCGTTACTCTCACCTTCACCTTCTTTGACATTGAAGGTCATGAAACCTGTGCATATGATTACCTGGAGGTAAGAGAATTAACATGTGCCTCTCATTTTGTTGACTTTAAAGAGAAGGTTGAGTTCTTGTGAAATAGAAATATAATTAGTGAGCTTTCTCATTCTATTTCTGTAAGTTTAAAAAACAAAAACATTATAGAAGAAATATCCTCTGAAAAGGATTGCTCTCAACAGGCGCTCATATTATTAATACGACAAGAAATGAATCAAAATATGGACCTCACTTTCATGTGTAGACCCATGTACAACTTTATGTGTGCAGTGCATTTGTTCTCCACTAAGATTGGGTCCATTTCTATTCACTTTGATTATTTCGAAACCTCTGAGGAAATGAAAAAGTAATATGTACGTATACTACATAATCAACCCTTCCCATTCCCTGCCAGACAGTTTCTTTCCAAATGTAATTGTATTACTAACACTCACCTTGTTATCTTGCAACATGCCTGTGTGTTTGTTTCCTTGATAGGTCATGATGGTGCCTCTGATAGTGCTCCTCTCATCTCTACCATGTGTGGTGATCAGATACCAGCTCCTATTACTACCACCGGTAGCAGCTTAACATGTCTGTGTGTTTGTTTCCTTGTTAGGGATGATGGTGCCTCTGATAGTGCTCCTCTCATCTCTACCCTGTGTGGTGATCAGATACCAGCTCCTATTACTACCACCGGTAGCAGCTTAACATGCCTGTGTGTTTGTTTCCTTGTTAGGTGCATGATGGTGCCTCTGATAGTGCTCCACTCATCTCTACCCTGTGTGGCGATCAGATACCTGCTCCTATTACTACCACCGGTAGCAGCATCTATCTTAAGTTTGGCACTGATGCTTCCATCGCAAACTTTGGATTCAGCGCTGACTATCAGTTTTCAGATGAAGGCAACCCAGGCATTGGTAAGGAACGGTTCCTTTGTTTGGAGCCAGAAGAGCATTAACTCCTTTTTGCTCCAAACAGACCAATTTGATGTTTGTACTAAGTCTAGTAAATATATTGAAAATCTGCAATTATAAACTCTTTGGCCCGTATTCTGAAGTCGTGTCTAACTCCTGTTTAACTAAACAGTTGTCTAAGTCCTGTCTAAGTCCCGTCTAACTTTAGACACAAAGTTGTGTCTAACTTTTTTTGGTATTCTGAAGTCATCTTTAAATAAAGTTAAACACGAAGTCCTGTCTAAGTCCCGTCTAACTTTAGACACGAAGTTGTGTCTAACTTTTTTTGGTATTCTGAAGTCATCTTTAAATAAAGTTAAACACGAAGTCCTGTCTAAGTCCTGTTTAACTTTAGACAACTGTGAGGGGTTGTTTAAGTCCTGTTTAAGGGCGCGATTCTGCTGCTTTTCAACGTCGAAGGTACACTCTACTATCTGACCCCGAACTTGCGGGGGAGAACGATGGTACGTGCATCCTCTAAAATTGCAAATACGTTTTGCAGGATTTTTTCTCGTGTAGCCTAATCTTTTTTCTCGATAGTATTAACTATTCTTATCTACTGGTGACATCTTGGAAATTCCATAATCTATAATCAGCTAACCATTCTGTTGGAGAAGTTTCTTTTCCTGTTCTTCCAAGCACTGAGGCACTGATAAGTGATATTATTAGTGTGTTTGTCAATGCAATAGGTACGTTAAGCGTGTTACGTTCGCACAGTACATGCAGTCTAGTCATTACTTCACGATCACATCACCATGGTACCAGCACGGCACAGCTAGCTTTGCGCGTTAATTTATTTATCCGGTGCGCGCACGCATGCGCATTAGATCTATCGTCAGAATTAACGCCTACTGGGCATGCGCAGAAGTCTTGACTACAAGTTAAACACGACCTGCGCAGAACTTAAACAGTTGTTTAGTTAAATACGACTTAGACAGGACTTAAACAGTTGTTTAGTTAGACGAGACTTAGACACGACTTCAGAATACGAAATTTAGTTATACAGGACTTAGACACGACCTCGCGTCTAAGTCGTGTCTAACTAAACAGTTGTTAAATTTAGACATGGCTAAGTTAGACACGACTTCAGAATACGGGCCTTTATATTTAAGAAATGCATTTTGGGAGAAAATGGAATAAGAAGTTGATATTGAAATGATACAACAATATTTTGGGCATTTAAGGTATATAATGCCTCGTTTTAAAGATGATGCTGACTTTTGTTTTGTCTAATTATTACTACTCCAGTGAGTAGACATCTCTTTGATTTTAATACTGTTTAAATCACAAGTCCAGTTTACAGTTGGTATCATTTGTTATCACTTTGTATTTTATATGTATTAATGTAAGTTGACAAATTATTTTCACCTTTATCAGACCTCAACTTTCGCTCCAAACAGTAATGTCATAAAATCAATGCTATTAAAGTGTAACTGATACATTCCACTTGCACCTGTGTAGGTTGTGGGGGAACCTTTACTGAGAGCACTGGCACGTTTAGCTCCCCTTCTGATGGTAGCGTCTACCCACATGGGGCCAACTGCATCTACAACATGGTAATAGATCCTGGCATGATTATAGAGCTGACTTTCACTGTGTTTAACCTGGAGGAAGCTTCCAACTGTATCTTTGACTATGTGGAGATCTATGACAATGGCACTACCCCAAATGTGACATTCCTTGGAAGGTAGGGACTTTCTTAGTAACCTTGGCATCTTAAATTAATCTTACACTTGCATCAGATAAAATGCACATTTCCCCTTTCTTATCGTGTGTGCTCCAAACATTTCTGATGTTACAGGTATATGAAATGTTTTGTTACTTTTTTTTTTTTTTTGATAGATGGTGAAACATAACATAATCTAAGCAGTACCAAACCTATTGTATTGGCCTATTTGGGACTCTCCTTACAGGGACTGCTGGTGTGACCAGCTGTCAACAATTTTCTGTTGATACCTGAAGTAGCTAATGCTCTCGATTGCACAAAATATACAAAAAAAATGTGTAGATCTATAATAATAGCACTACCCCTGTTGTCATTTTCATGGGAAGGTATGGACTTGCTTGATGCAACTTTTAAATCTTGTTTACAAATGAAATTGTTGACTGTGGAACATGATGACTTCAAACATTGTTTTGTCATCTTTTGTTTCTCTTTGCTTTTACTCTCTATTTACAATTGGCAATCTGTGTCTCACATTCGGGCAATCTGTTGTCTGTCTCACTGTCTCTGTCTCCCTCTCTACTTTTCTTTGGCTCCTCTACTTCGTCTCTACCTGTCTTTCTCTCTCTCTCTCTCTCTCTCTCTCTCTCTCTCTCTCTCTCACACACACACACATTCTCTTCAAATCTTTCCTCTTTCCCCTTTCCTCTTTTCTTGCTCTTTCAGTCACCCCTACCACTGTGTCTCATGCCATTGTCTCCTTTATCTTGCTCTTCAATCTCCCTTTAAACTGTTTTTTATATCTTTGTTTTGCCTCAGGTATTGTGGTTCCGGACCACCTCCTGTCATGATGTCTGCCAGTAACCGGATGAGTGTTGTCTTCATCACTGACTCCTCTGTGGCTTATGAAGGCTTTACAGCATCCTATATAGCAGTCAATGCATCAACATGTAAGTGCTGTGTTCAGGATACATTAAATACCATAGGCCATTATATATCTTCTGTTTAGTCCTTTTACAGTGTTAAGATTTTAGGATGGAATCTTTGCTTTTTCCTGGCTCAAACCTCATTTCTACATTGTGCATCACCAATGGTATAATTAGTTAAATGTTTCAGGTATGAACGGATCATTGTAAGCTTTATTGAAAGTTCGAAATTAATATACAAATTTGTCAACCATAATTGTTTGCTTAAACTGCCACATGAGTGTTTTCTACTCTTTGAAATATATTTCAAAAGCTGATACATAGCTCTGTACATTTTTACATATAGGCTTGAATTTTTATATATTTTCCTTTTTTTTCTTTCTTATTCTGTCCTGTTCAGATTGTGGTGGAACCTTATCTGGTGCTACAGGAGTTGTTATGAGTCCTGACTACCCCAACAATTACCCTGACAACAGAGACTGTACATGGACCATTAGTGCTCCAGTCGGAAATCAAATTATTCTCACCTTTACAAACTTCACGTTAGAGGATAATTCCAATTGTGCATATGACTATTTGACTATCAGGTGAGGATTGTAGTATACTGTATAAGTCTTGATTTTTATGAGGGTTTCTAATTTTTTTTCCAAATTTCACATATTTCAATTCTTGTGTGGTTCTTTTTCTTATCGAGTCACTATACAAGTTCCGTCCTGTGCTCCACACAGGCCTTCTGATGTGGGGTGGTGAAATACGGCAAAGCAGGTAGACGTCTTTAGTTGGAAAAACGCATTTAGTAAAGAGGGCTTGAAATTTCCCTTACTTTTCTGCATGTTTTCTTTCTTAAATAAAAATATTAAAATATTTAGTTTTTTCGTGTCCATCTAGCTACCCATATTTTTCATAGTTATGGAAAATTATGATTGGGATGTCCAGATTGACCACTACACCATGTTGCCCCAAACAGTGTAGCAAGTTCTTAACATGCATATGTGATAACTTTGCTACACACAAGATCTTAATTTAACGTCCTTTCCAAAGGACAAAGCTCATTTCTTTAAAATTTGAAGTTTATTTGTTCTACATTTATATCAAAAGCAATTATGTTTCATACAAACTGAAGACTCGGTTCCAAAACAATATGGGTAGATAGCTTAAACCAAGTCTAATGTACAGCAAAAAGTTTTGAGGGAAGGGTACTGAGATACAACAGGTAAAATTGAAGAAAAAAAACAACAACATTGCACATCTCTACCAGCCATCTTTGTACATGTATGCGTCCATCTTTGTTTCTGTTTAGGAATGGTGGTTACGACAGCTCCCCTCTTATCGGTACCTACTGTGGTCCAAAGATCAGTCCTACTACATTCATCTCTCATAGTCATCTAATGAGACTCACCTTCCATACAGACATCTCTATCACAGCTACAGGCTTCTCTGCATTCTACGATTCTACAGCAACAGGTGAGCTTTCTTCACCTCTCTACATGATTGCTCATTTGCCACACATGTCATTATGCACAAAACAGTAGGCATGGGTGGCTAAGCCTGTCTAATAATAATAATAATAACTTTTACTTATATAGCGCTTTTCATAAAACATTTATATCAAAGCGCTTTACAATATTGATACAATTAAAACTAAACAGAGTAATGACAAGAAAACAAATATAAAGTGAAATTATGAAACATAGATAACAAGGTAAGATAACAATATAAGAACTAGGTAACAATTTAAGAACTAGGTAACAATTTAAGAGCTAGGTTGAATATGCATTTTCCATTAGATAGGTTTTTAATTTTGATCTAAACAAAGTAATATCAGAGATGGAACGAATGGAGGCTAAGAAATTCTTTGCAATTGTGAATGTTCGTACTTAAAATGAGCCATGTGTTTGTTTTGTTTTTGTTTTAAAATTTGCGTCTTTTGAACATATTTATGCAAACTGTAACAATAAAACAAAGAACTGAAACTGAAAAATAAATTCTAGAAGTTATTCAGTAAACAAGCAAATGCCCAGTAACATGGCAAGTGAATTACTTGTTTTCATACAATTGTATTTTTAAAAATAAATAGATATCTATTGTAGTCGTGAACATAGACTGGCATATGAGTGACATGTAATTGTGATAACTAAACTGATGATACCTCTATAATTTTTAAGCATTTTCAAATTATAAACTAATTTTGACACATGGGTCATATCTACATGTAAGAACAGCCAAACTGCCATCTTCTAGCTTCAATGTGTTTCTCCCAATCCCATTTTAAACCATTATTAACACTCTACTCCCATGGAATTTGATCAACCAGGTTGTGGAGGGACATTAACATCACCAACGGGAAGCTTCACATCACCCAGCTACCCGTATGCCTACAATCACGATGCTTTCTGCGTGTGGACCATGACCGTAGCCCAAGGATCACAGATCATACTCACCTTTACTGACATGGATGTTGAAGATCACTCCTCCTGTGCATTTGATTATGTCAAGGTACAATTGTTGGGCTGCATATAAACTAAGATTACAATGGCAATAATTGCATTTTTTCAATATTCTGATTTCTTCCTGTATACCAGTACCAGGTAGTATGATTTATTGCAAGTAGAATCAATGTCATGGATGTTTCAAGTCAAGGGTGTATAATTATACTCACCTCTGAAACGTGTGTTTTAATTGTTTTTATAAAATGTTGATGAGGATCCTATTGATAAATAATCATCATCCGAAAGTGCATAGATTTAGAGTCACCTACCAACGGAGATCAAGATGATAAACCAGCTGATCAATAGTAAATGCTGAATACTGGTCATTGGCACTTTCTATTAACCGATTATGGAGTAGATAACAAAAATCCCTGCTCTCGACCAATCATTTCATTAGGATCTTTGGCATAATTTCAAATTGACAATCCTCTCCACTCCTTCCATGTCTGATTGTTAACATAGTTTTTGTTTTCTCTCTCTCTCTCTTTCTTTTTATCATCAGGTTCTTGATGGTCTAGAAACTACGAGCCAGTTGATTGGTGTCTTCTGTGGCACCACAATCCCTGAACCTGTCCATTCTACAGGCAATAGCATGCGTATTGAATGGCAGTCAGACTTCTCTGTGAGTGGAAGGGGATTCTCGGCCACCTATGAAGAAGGTAAAAAGCTCAGCAGGAAGGAGGGAGGGAGGAATCAAATCGTCAATGCTTTAGACCTTATATTTGTTACTTCTGAAAATAGTTTTGCATGCACTCTAATACAGTCAATTATTTGAACTGTTTTGCAGTCGCCATATTGAGAAGCTGCTATTCATGCAGTCAGTATAAATATTTCAATTGTGCTCCCTGGCTCTTAACCAATCAGATTACAGGGATTTCTCAAGCCATTCTATATTAATTACTAACATGTTCTTTGTATTTTCTAGATTGCTCTGATGTGGTACTAACAGCTCCTTCTGGATACATCGAGTCTCCTAACTACCCTGATCCGTACCCTCATAGCCGAAACTGTTCATGGATTGTGCAAACTACAACTGGAAATACTATCAACTTCACATTCACTGATCTAAATCTTGAAGCACACAGCACCTGTACATTTGACTATGTCCGTGTAAGTCAAATCTACCCTTCACATTTCATGGAAAATCATTTGATTTATTGATAATATTTGCACTACATAATAATATAGATGACTGGGCTTTAAAAGCGAGATGCTTCACAGAGCAATTTGAGTATACCTTTACTCATTATTACTTGATTAAGCCCGATCTTCTGTATGAGTGAACGAGAGAGAGAGGGAGATTTGAAATTGATGTGGAAACTATGATATAGAAATTGTTTCGATACTATAAGATATTGTACTATGACCACTTCTATTCATAATGCTTCATTATTGATCATAATTATTATGATTTTCCCAGATTGTAGATGGTCAGGACAGCAGTGATAATGAGCTTGCCAGGCTGTGTGGTAATAATCCTTTACCACCAGGCACTACATACCCTTCTACACAGCAATACATGAGAGTAGAATTCCATTCAGATTCCTCTGTGGCCAACGCTGGGTTCCAGGGATACTATGAAATTGATGGTAATGTTTCCCTTTATATTTTCTTTATTTCGTTTCTATATTTTTTTATTCTTTGCATAAAAAAGTCTTTTGCATATCTTTCTGTCTACTGTGTAGAAATATCCTTGTAGAAGTATTGTTCTTCAATTTCTGATTTAGATACAAAATGTTCATAGGGGGTGTATTTAAACGTGCAAAATCTCTCTGTAGACATAATACTTTATGCAGGGCTTGACATTAACAGGTGCCCAGGACACATACAGTAGACACCCAAAATATTGGTCCAGGCTCCCAAAAAATTTTAATGTACACACATACTCTTTAAAATAATAAAAAATCTAGACCCCCAGAACAGTAAGCGTAGAGCCCTATTTTAAGCTCATATTTTGAATAAAGTAGAGTGACCTGGAATCTTTAACATGCAGAACAAAATGTTCTTTGGTGATTGGTATACTTTGAATTTCAAACCATGGTTCCTGATTGGTGGGTGAACTAAATGCTAGACATGCTAACATAACCTCTATTCTGAAACAGGTTGTGGGGAGCAGCTAACAGGAAACAGCGGTACATTCTCCAGCCCTAACTACCCTAATCCTTATGACCACACCCGTACTTGTGAATGGACAATCACTGTGGATCCGGGCAGCTCCATCACTCTCACAATTGACAACATTGATATGGAGAATAGCGTACAATGTCAATTTGATGTGCTAGAGGTAACCTTTCCTTATGCAATTTCTGTTTCCTTTACTTATCAGCTATTTCCTTCTAAACCGCTTAGAGGCAATTTGCAATTTGCGGTATACAAATATCTTATTATTATTATTATTATTATGTAGCATTCATGTAATTTACAACCAGAAAGTTTTGTGAATTTCAGGAGTGGTTGATATTTGTGAAAGTTTCTTTTTTTCAAGTTTAAATCTTTACAACATACAAAAAGTTGTTTCCAATCATTAAGATTATATGTATGTCAAAAAAAAAATTCTGATTTTGAAGTATTATTTTCTTCTTTCAAAAGATATGATATATAGTTCACTTTATATTTTATAGGGGGAATTAGACATTACCCAGACTATCCATGAATTTGTATTGGGATCAAAATTCATTCCTGGTATTTCCTGGTGATCAGTGATTCAATTTGATTGATTCAAGTAGAGATGTTGTCTGCAAGAATAGTATTTTCTATCGTAAGCAGGGTTATTATTGTATGGGCAATTGTAACAGCTATTAAATCGTCAAGTTTAGCACTAAGTTCTAGTTTTCTTGCTTTCGAACCCAGAGCATATGTTTGCCTTCTGTTTATAATACATTTTCTGTCAAAGGGATTTGCTCTTCAATCGCTCTTGCTTGTAGAATTATTTCAGATATATTTCTTCCACTGTATTAACTACAAATTAACCCCTGAACTCTGTTCCAAATTTAAAGTAAGATTTTATTAAAGATGACTGTATCATGCATTGTGGATCTCTTTTAGATCTATTCCGGGACAGATGACAATGGATTCTTATTGCAGCAGCTGTGTGAGACAAGCACTGAAGCTCAAGCTATCTCTTCAGTCGGTAATCAGATGTTTGTCAGGTTCCGTACAGATTCTTCTGTCAATGGAGGTGGCTTCCATGCTTCATATCAAGCAAACCCTGGAGGTAGGTTTCTTGCATTTTATGTGGTGAATTGAAAGAATATAGTTTTTTAATACAAGAGCGCCCTGCGATCTTGTTCGAACTATTTGTGAGCGAAATAGGGAGAGACAGGTAGAAATGGAGAGAGAGAGAGACAGATCGACAGAGAGACATAGACTAAGACTATTTCTTTTTTAATTTTTTTTTTAACTTGTTTTGTTTAAAATGGCATACACCACTTACATGGACTAGATATCAAGTTATCATATGATATACATCCATTCCTAAAAAGACAATGTTTTATGATTTTCATTCTTTTTTTTCTTCTCCTTTCTAGAGAAGAGAGTAATGATTCTACACTGTATTCTTTTCCTTTTTTGTAACAGGAATAATGGTCACATGTACATATCATTGTTTTTCAAACTCTTATGTTTGTATAAGGTCTACTGTTAAAAAGATGATGAATTGCATGTTGTATCAAAGATACCAAAAGAAAAGGATTGCAGCATTTTACCTCTCTGTATTAAATTTCATCATGGTATCCCATTTTTACTCACCTCTTAGGATGTGGAGGCAACTATACATCAGCAAGTGGAGGACTGCATTCCCCCACGGCCCCTGGTAGTGTGAACTACCCCCACTTCACTGATTGCTCCTGGACCATCACAGTCGCTGAAGATCATAGAGTCGCCTTTTCTTTCCGGACCTTCGACCTTGAAGGTGCTACAAACTGTACCTATGATTATGTGGAGGTAATTAGTCTGTTCTGATGTTCCATTTATTCATAGATTTTTTGACATCTTGCTTGAAATCTGTAATCTTTTGCATTATCTTTATTGCTTTGTATTTGTTTAATTTCATATTTTGGTATGATAATATGGGACATTTAAAGTGTGATATGAGCTGTAAATGTGTGCAAGTTCAAAGCCAATTTTCCTAGATGTAATTTTTATCATAAAGAATCTCAGAAAATGAATTGTCAAGTGCGTTACATTATTGCATATTGAAGCATCTGAATCGGCCAAAATTGCAGACATCCGTGACTTACTTCCACTGATAATTATGTAAGAAGTTGCCATGTTTTCTTATCATTCTTGACGTTGGTGTAAAGAGAACATTTAGTGCTTGACAAGTTAGGTGCAGATAATTTGTCCATGTGCTAATTTAGAATTAAATATAATTGATACTGAGTTTAATTGAAGACATCATCCCATCACTCATATATATTTGTTGTCCCTTGTTTCAAGCTACATGATGGGTTAGGTCATTCCTCACCTGTGATAACTAAAGTATGTGGATCAGGACTCCCAGACCCAGCCACTTATTACTCTAGCAGTAACATGATGTATGTCCATATGTTCAGTGATGGTAGTGTGAGTAGCACTGGCTTCAGAGCATCCTATGAAACAGGTAGGTGTTAACTTCCTCAGCTTCTTGTGAATAAAGATTGAAACCCAGCTCATATCAATTGTGATAAAGGTAGCACAGAAAAATGTAGTGGCATTAAAAGGAGAGTCTGGCATGCCAGATGCATAGTAGTACATTATGTCTGTGGATGAAAGGTTGTAATTTGAGACACCATAATGACATTTTTGGTGATATAAAGTCTAATCTGGGTTTAGTAGAGATGATTACTAGGTCTGTCTCATAATCATATGATTCTACCTAGATGAAATAAGATTAGAATTTTTAACAATGATGCATTTTGCATTCTTTTTATGCCTCTTTATTGTGTTAAACTACCTAAGCCACTCATTTCACCTATGGAGAGGGTTTACTAATAGTAAGGTTTTGAGGAAAGGAGTGAAAATATATATTTCTGGAAATGTGTGTTTCAAAGTTTTGGCCATTATTGATGACATCTGCACAACACCTTTTAATCTGTACACTGTCCTATTGTTAACAGTAAAGCTTATAACTTTTCTTCATTATTGCTTGGCCCTCTCATTTCACAGCAAATGAACTAAAGGGGGAAAAATCAATCAAAATTTGTGTTTGCACCCTTCTGTAGGGCACATGATGAACAAAGAATGAAGAAAATGATAGAGTGAAAGCTGGTTACATGTTATAAGTTACTATGCATGGTCCTAGATGCTGAAAATTCATTATTGCCCTTTCTCCCTTTATTTGTTATTGTAGCATGTGGAGGCAGAAAGGATGCCAGCGTAGATGGCTACATTCAGACTTCTAACTATCCCAACTACTACCTTAATAATCAGAACTGCTCATGGATTATAGAAACTGATGATCCACGTAAGTATTGCTTAAGAAGGATGCCCAGGCCGGGGGTATCAAATATTCTCAAGATTTTACTGAATTACTGACTTCTATTCAGCCAATAAAAGTATATTTAGATGACCATGAACATGCATACATTGTTTCAATTGATAGCACATGCAAATGCTTGTATGATTATAAAAGATTAGCTAGTTTGTTATGTATGGATTTCAGGGTAAATCAAATATAATTGTTCTTTGAAGGGTATTCATGCCTGTTGTGTACAATGTATCTCTTCAGCTATTAGTGTTCACTTGTAAATTTTTGGCAGTGTACCGTTTTCTATTTTGAATACCTTTCCTTTCTTGAATTCCTTTGTATTTTCAATTGCTATTTCAATCCAGTTTCAAATTTTTTTGTCCAATAGAATTTGGGTTGCTCACATTTTACAATATAGACATCATGTAACTTTTCTCATGAACACTTGGTCTACATAATTATACTTTCATGTTGATTAATGCATGCTTCTTGTTGACAGAGGATCGTATAACCCTGATCTTTACCCATATGGACCTGGAAGCCAACGGTGCCTCAGACTGTCATGACTCTGTCACAGTCCGCCAGGGTAACAGTGACACCTCACCAGAGGTCGGCACCTACTGCGGTTCCATCGTCCCCATCCCTATCACTTCTACCGGCCCCTCCCTTTTCGTCTCATTCTCCAGTGATTCAAGCGTCACTCTTACTGGTTTCAGAGCTACTTACACCACATCAGAGTCGGGTAGGACAAGAAAAAAAAAAAAAATTGGCAAAGTATTATAAAGTTGTAATAGTTTGTTGAATTTTTGTTGTTGTTGTTTTTATTGAGTCATATACTAACAATTATTCATCCAGATTACAACCGTTGTTTAGGAATCATTAAAGCTAAAAACTTCTTGTTGTGAAGACAACTGGATATCGCTTGGTGCACTATTTTATGAAGAGCAGCCATGAATTTAGTGTTGCTATGAATCATGTAACTGCTTGTCTAAGAAACAGAAAAGATATGTTAGACGTACATGAATTCTTCTTATTTATATTTGTGTAAATGTGTTGTTATCCACATGTAATTAAATATTCTGATCAAACTTGAGCATACTGTGGAAACAAAATGTTGCTAGAGTAAGCCTCTAAGAATGAAGATTGACTGCAATGGTGTTGTTTGTCAGAACATCATATATGCATTCTCCACAATGTCATTTTTATTTTCGATGATGATGATTAATATGATGGTTATAAAAACTCAATAGTATTCAAACTATATAATTTAGATGAATCAAGAGGAGACGAGGAATTCAATGGGATATTCTCTAATTAGAGTTTAGGATACATGTATGTTGGAGTACATGTGCATGTAAGGGGGATTGATTTTGTTTATTAGATATATATATATCTTTTTTTTTTTTACTTACAGCATGTGGTGGAACATACTCTGCTCAGTCTGGTTCTATTGTCAGCCCCGCCTACCCAGCTAACTACCCTCAAGATACAGAATGTATATGGATCTTTACCGCATCAGCAGGAAACAGAGTACAACTCTCATTCAGGTACTTTTCTTTGTGATGTGCAGAACCCTTGTTTTATGAGGGGTCAAGGAAAGAGCACTAACACATATATATTTTCCCCATATGTACATGTAGGTCTGTAAGTCTTTACTCAATATAAAGAAATGAGAAAATTGTTTGGACCTTCTTTCTTTCTTGTAAAAACAAGTCTCATTGAGGTACTTCTATCTACATTGCATATCATTATTTGTGATGTAGAACCCTTAATTGATAAATAAAGGTCAGCTGCTTTACCTAGGTGTAATTATTTTAACCAGGTCTTGTGGATGGATATCAGGTTTACCATAACTTGCATTTTTATAGAAAGAAATAGACAGAGCATCACTCCCATTCAAGTACTTCATCTCCACTACATACCATTGTTTGTGGTGTATAATCCTCATTTGATTTTAATATAAGGGTAATTTTTTCCCCCAGGGTGTAGCGGATGGACATTATATGTTTTGAAGATTTAGACACTCATGTATGTTTTATAGAAAAAATTGAATGGAGTATCATTCGCATTCAATAAGCGAGTTCGTAAATAGCTCTGGAACGCATGACCCCAAAATATCCACAGATCTTTGACACGGTGGATACTTCCCACATGTGCATTTTAGAATAATCACTGCCGAAGTGATGGAGGTGCTTCATGAATACCTTTTGTTTGCCTCTTGAGAACAATACTTCCACCTGTGTATCAGATAAATGTACTTTCGGTGAATAAATGAATACTGATTACATAACTTTCATGAGCACGATCCGAGTATTCGTCTCAATGGTTTTACAATTTTGGTACGAATAACCTTAAGTTTATCTGCCCATGTGCAAATCCTAATTACGAACTCGCTTATTACATTCATCTGTCATTGTACAGCATATTCCTTGTTAAAGTGAAAAGAGACAGTTAAACATAAAAACTGGGTGTTCCACAAACATACCTCTATCTTGCAATATGTTACCTACAGGTACATTGTAGCGGTGAAAATACCTGTCTTGTACTGTTGAGGGTAGATATAGACACAGGATACATTCTCATAACTGGCAAAATATTGTTTTCTTCACAAAAAAGAAATATAATGATATTTATTGATGTGATATCTTCATGTAAATTTAATAAATTACAAACTAAGTAATATCTGAACATATTGAAATTTATGTTCCATTGAAACTTTGGAAATGAGTAAAATGAAACACAGAACACAAATCACATTCCTTTAGGGACTTTTAAAAGGAGATTTTTTTTAAATTTGGTTAAAAATAATGAAAAGAAAAGAAAGGCCAGAGAAATTCATGTAGCAATAAAGAGGCGACAGCAGCCATGATCATCTGACATGAATTTTCTTTTTGCACAGCATTTTCAACCTTGAGTCAGTATGTAGCCAGGACTATGTGGAACTTCGTCAGGATGATGCAAACGGTGCACTGATTGGTCGCTATTGTGGTAACACCATTCCTAGTAATGTAACTGCTGTTGGTAGTTTGTGGATGAAGTTCCGTTCAGATTCACAATCATCTGATGCAGGATTCCTTGCCAGCTTTGCAATGCGTAAGTCCCGAAGATGGTGGTCATGTATCACTAAAGTATAATTCATCTTTATAATAAAAAAATAATATCATCTGTGTTTTGTGAGAGACTAGGGATTTTATGACAAGTTAGGTGTATTTTCCACTATATTACTCTCTATGATTAGAAGATGGAAAACATGTCACCTGTGGTTGGGATTTAAATTACTTTTTACACTTTTGAAATTAATACACAAGGAGAAGGTATGGTATGTGTTATTATTGGCTCATAATTTTTTATTTGACCATGCTTATTATCCTAGTCCACCATATCTCACCTTTACCTTTTTTTTTAAAGAAAGAGACATCTTTATTGGTATATTGTATTAAATTTTATGCCTCATCACATCCTAATCGTAATGATGAATGAAAGTTTATACCACATTTTTTCTGACGTTTCCAGTTATGAACCACATCAAGACATATGGGTTAATAAAATAGATAAATCAGTATTTGATTTTCAACATTTTTCTTCCAAGTTAAGTAGTTTCTTTGTGTACCATTTATTGGGGGTCTTTTTTTTGGGTCAACAGAATTTGGTGGTGATCTGTCTGGAATGGCTGGCACTATCGAATCGCCTCTGTACCCCTCTGTCTACCCTCACTATGCTAGTGTAATGTGGACAGTCACAGTTCCAGCTGGGGAGCTGATCCTATTTTATTTCACCGTTATGGATATTGAAAATGATGCGGCTTGTTCATTTGACTATGTCAAGGTGAGTGTTATACCAAAAATAAACGAACCTTCCAGTCATTTTTCTCTTTTGGTCTTTGGTCTGGAGATGGATTTAGGGAATATCTAGTATGTTGTTCGGGAAAAGTAACAATTATTTTATACTAAGCTTGTTCATGATTATTATTACATGATTGAAATAGTATTTGTGGTTGGGGCTTTGACTGGAAGTAAATTATCACAGAATCAAACTAAAGTTAAACTGAATATATCTGATGTCTGTCAAATAGTCTTGGTAGAAGTTCTGACTGCACATCATCCACTTGAACATGTGGTCTCATATGTGTATTTACATAAAAATGTGATTCCCTGCAAGTTTACATTCTTCTGGTACAAAACACACATCTAGTAAATTGTAAATAATTCAGTATCACTTTAATCCAGCTTCTTTTAAGAAGCCTTTCCATTACCAGGACTCAAGAATAGCTTTAACAGCCTTTTGAATTTAAATTCATCATGAAGAGTTTATCATTCATTTCTTCTTTCAGATTCGAGATGGGTTGTATGAGTATTCACCAGTCCTACAAACAGTTTGTGGTATCGAGATCCCTAATGCAGTCCAGACCACAGGGAATGTTGGCTCTGTGCAATTATCTAGTGACTTCTCCATTGCTGGCACTGGTTTCCAGCTCAACTGGCTTGCTGTGTCTGGTAGTAACACCATTGCACCTGGGACAGCTGAGCCTGGAAGTATGTCATTTTTAAGCTTCAATGTTCTTCTCATTTTGTTTTGTTTTGCTAGGGTAGTATTATACTCATTTCTTACTCTCACAACTTTACTAAGTCCTTGCTATCAGTGGGACTAAGGGAGGCCTAAGTGGCATCAATGATACTGGACAAAGCTAATTAGCCCACTTCTTATTCACATTTGATTTTTCTAAAGTGTGCTAGCCCCACCAATAGTACAGAACTTTTTGGCCCTGGAAGAAAAGAAGATCTATAGGCAAAAAAGAGAGCAAAATAGTTTGCCATTTTAAATGTAGATAATTACAACACTCTATTTAGGTATTGAATTGTGGATGAAACTCAAGATAGAAACTTGGTCTGGTGAGGTAAATTGGGTAAGCCATTGTTATCATATGTAAACCAAAGAAACCATTTCAATTTGTGGATGAAATTAAATATTATATATCTGTATTGCAGATAAGTGATATGATATGATGTCAAATTGAACATTTTTTGGGGTGATGCTTTTTCATTGTTTATCTTCACTGACTCACTCAATTACTCTCTGCCTCTCTCTTCCTGTCTCTGCCCCCCTCTCTTTCCTTATATCTGCATCTCTCTCTCTCTCTCCCTTGTCTCTTCCATGTTGTTAATGTATCTCGCTCCCCCTCCCCCCCCCCCTCTCCCCCCCCCCCCCCTCTCTCTCTCTCTCTCTCTCTCTCTCTCTCTCTCCCTCCCTCCCTCCCTCCCTCCCTCCCTCCCTCCCCCTCTTCTTTTTCCTTTCTCTTCCTACCTTTTTTCTCATCCCAGGCTGCGGAGGACCATTGACAGCTACCGGCAGTGAGCAGAACTTCACCTCTCCTGGTTACCCTAGTAACTACCTTGATAACCAGGACTGTGTATGGCTCATCACATCCAACGGAGGCACCATCTTCCTCAACTTTACCTCTTTCCTCCTCGAAGATGGAGGTGTGGACTGTATCTTTGACTATGTCAGAATCTATGATGGTAATTTGATCTGATTTCAGTGCTCCATAATTTCTTTTCAATGGGGGTCAAAGTTGACAATCTCAGAGTCTGCATGAGACCTGTATTAAAATGTTTGAAATGTAGGGGTCCAGCTAGAGCTGAAAGTTATGGGCCCATATGCACTGGAGCTCTGGTACACATACATGTGGACTACTGAATTCTTGTTTTCCCACTTGGATCCTGTATGCAATGGACGAAGGTTCTTTGAAGAGTTTGAAATGATAGTTGACTTTCATTCCTTTTATCATAAAGGAATAGGATGGATTTTTTTTAAAGGATCATTGGGACAGAAGATAAATATTTTTTTTGTCCGTTTGTTGTTTGTTTGAGTACTTTTCCAAAATCTTCAAAGTCTAAATTTGGTGTAGGCGCACTTCTTAGTAGGGGAAAAAAAATCCAGATTTCAATAATATCAATGATTTTGCTCTTAAGTTTTTATGAATTAAATAAAAATACAAGACCATTAAGACATAAAAGAATGTACTTAATACATTCATCTTTGTGCGTTTTCAGGTGCAACCAATACTGATACTCGATTAGGTCAGTTCTGTGGGACCCTTGCATCACCAGTGTACTCTACAGGAAGCACAATGAGAGTTGAGTTCTCTACAGATAGCTCTGTCACTTTAGCAGGTTTTGTAGCAGTTTTCAAGTCAGGTAAGAAACTGTGTTTGATTCTGGCTTGCAGTTGTACTTCAAAGATACTATTGATGTGTTCAAGATAATTTCAGAAATTTAGTCTTACAGTATTTAGGTTAAAGATGATATGTGTAGGGTTAATGGTATAGTATCCATTAGAACTACACCTCTTATTATTGGAGTATCTATGATTTTAGTTTAATTCATACCATTGTACAAATAAATTGTATTTTTCAATGTCAGTAGACCATGTTTCATGTTCCAGAAATATCTGTTTTTTAACAATATTCAAATAAGGAAGCTAACACTTAACTACTAAGTTATATTTTACATAATTTGCTATAGGATGTGGAGGTGACTTTACATCAATGAGTGGAACTGTAACAAGCCCTGGTTATCCCGGCTATTATGCTTCCAACCTGGATTGTACATACAGCATTCAGACTATCTCTGGCGCTACAATATCACTTAACTTCCAAGAATTGGATGTTGAATCTTCCAGCAACTGTGGAAAGGACCAGCTATATGTGAGTTATATCCAGATGAATCATATGCAACTCCAGAGTCATTATGTATACATCAGGTTTACAATCAGTTAGGTTTATTATAATTCCGCCCGCCAAAGGTTTTGCTGGAGGCTTTATGTTTCGGGGTTGTCTGTCCATCTGTCTTGCTTTCTCGTTATTTCAATATCTCAAAAAAGCGATTGAGGTATGAGCGTGGTGATGGTATGTTTCATCATAGGAAGACAATCTGATTAGATTAATTGGCTGCCTATTTTCAGATTTTCTGGGTATGGCTTTATAAATAAACTTACCATATCCAGTTTTTCTGATATTTTGGCATAGCTGTGTACCTTAAGTTACTAATAATCTGACATAGATTCTTAAATTAACCAATATCTCATTTTTGTAATTCTTCATGAAGTTATATAATGGAAGATCCAAGACATCTCCTGATCTTGGAATGTTGTGGTCTAGAGACATCTAGTAGCATGCTCAGAGCAAGCTTTATAACTACATTTGCCATCTGATTATTACAATATTTTGTGTATAGTTTGAGCTTACTGATGTCAAATTCCTGGCATATATCTCATTTTCTGATACCTTTTGAAGTTATCCAATGGAGGATCTGAGACTTCTCCAGCTCTTGGAACGAGTCCGTACTGTGGCACTGCTGAGCCCTCTGGTTTGGAAACATCTAGTAACATGCTTAGAGCACGCTTTGTTACTGATGACTCAGGCAATGGACGCGGATTCAGCTTTAGTTATGTGACTGTCACAGCAGGTATGATGCTAATTTCACACTTTTCGCATTGTACTCACAATTCAGTGCAATGCAAAAATGTTACTTTACCCCTGTGCCAGGATGGTTTTGAGGCTAATACTCAGGATGGATCAAGGTTGTGGTTTGAATGGAAATATTTTGGGAATAATCAGTTTTTCAGTTTGCCTGCGGAAAGCTGCAAGAGTGGGACTATCTGTCCTTTCCCTTTAAAAATTCCTGCTTTTTCATTAAATTTAAATTCATCTACACAAGATTTACACAGCCCTAAATGAAATATGTTGATTGAGGAACAGATTTATTTTTGTGATATACAGGATTGAGTGAGTCAGCCATATTCTAATCCTAAAAACTCAATGCCAAACATGGTTATTTGAAAAATGTAGGCACTCTAAATGGAACTTCCTTGTGCCAAATGCATATTGTTTAAAAAGGAAAGAAAGACAGAAAATTATACTCGATGAATCGAATAAAAAATCCTACTTCTTATAATGATAATAATAATAGTGGTTTCTTGTATAGCGCTCATGTCTGTCAGACTAGACACTCCTGGCACTCCCGATTATTACCCTGGCTTTAGCAAGGCTGCCATTACGGCACTCTAGCATTTCAAGGAATTAATTCCTGCCAGGTACCCATTTACATCACCTAGGTTGAGTGTGGCAAATGTAGATCAATGTCTTGCCAAAGGACATTAGTGCCGCGGTGGGACTCAAATATCCACATATCCACTCGACCACGACACCTTAAACCATCATAGATTCAGTTGATGAAACTGATTCATTATCTTCTCTCTCTCTCTCTCTCTCTCTCTATCACAGGTTGTGGTGGACATCGTACACTAACCAGTGCTACTGATACAGGGTTCATCTCATCTACCAACTGGCCTAATAACTATGTAGAGAACACAGAATGTATCTGGATCATCTCTGGACCTCAGACATATCTCATATCTGGAGTCTTTGAGAGTAACTTCTACATTGAGTCTCATTCAAGGTACATGTACTTCCTACTTTTGTAAATTTACTTTGAGAAGTAATCAAAGAAAGGAATAGCTAACATTCAACCCCTCCAATGTTACCATTCCCCGAAAGGTCAAACAGACTTTCTTAACAACAAGATTTGGCACTAATGTTTATCCCTTGTGACTTAGTTGTTTTTTTTAAGACATACATTTAGACGTCTTAGGTATCAATGTTAAATCTCCTCTTTCTTTCAGTTGCCAATTTGACTACATTGAGATCCGTGATGGTGGTTCTGCTAATGCTCCTCTGATTGGTCAGTACTGTGGCAATGTAGCTCCTAATCCAATCACCACAACAGGCAATGCCATGTATGTCAGGTTCTCAACAGACTTCAGTGTCGTTCATTCTGGCTTCAAGATGACCTATAGCCCAGGTGAGTTCCTTTATGGTTATGGAGACATTGGATTATGAATACAAACATTCTGTTTCATCAAGATTGTTGTCAGGATGGTCTAAAGCATAGCTATTTTCATTAGCTTTATGAATACATTGAAATATATGTTCAATATGATATTTCTTCAATTTTACCCAAAAAAATTCTGATCAAAAAGTTGTTGATTAAATACCAGTACTAAGGATTCAATTATGTAATGCTGAATGCTTTTAATGCATGATGTTCTATAAGCTGTACTGAAAAAATTATTTCCATCTATATTGCACCTTGGAAAAGAGTAGCAAATGTACATGTAGAACAATATCTGCCCAATTCAACCCACATTATATATGTTGTAATGTTATAGTATCCTATCCATGAGAGTTAAAATGCACTTGCCAATTTGCTCCACAAAGCATATACATGTATATCTAGTGTAGCTAAGCCACTTCAACATTTATAATCCAATTAAAATAACAGTGTATCAGTCAAATATCTTACCAAAGGGCATGGTGTATCAATATTCCAATGAGCTATATTAATCTGTTTGGAGCCAGAAGGGTGTTAACAATGTAGAAAAAAAAGTTCTTTTGGCTTCGAATGCACAATATGCTTGATCAGAGCACATTGGGCAGAAGGGTGTGTTTATTCTTTGAAGCGTATGATGATACTATGATGGAAGTACTTGCATGATGTCTCAAGCATAATACCATTTTATATTCATCTTCTTGTAGCTCAATGCGGAGGCAGCTACTCTGGTACCAGTGGAACGTTCAACTCGCCCAACTACCCCAACAACTATGATTCAGCTGCAAACTGTGAGTGGTACATCACAGGTCCTGTAGGTCACTATGTCACCGTCTCATTCTCAGCATTCAATGTGATTGGCTCTGGAGACTGTTCTACTGGAGACTATGTTAGGATACATGATGGACGCAATGTTTCAGGTAAGTAGTCCTTACAAACTGTGATTATTTGTGACATTCAATACCAATTTTGGTTAGATTGGAATAGTAATTGGAAATAAATTCATGTAAGATTTCTGATTTTTATTGACCAACCATCTAATCCTTAAAAAATCAATGTAAATTGGGTATAGTGAGGTAAAGACAACTGATTATCTTTGAACAACTAGTACAATTACTGATGATTTTGATAGTGTCCCTCAAGTGAGAATAACTTGATTTTTAAAATGCCTTTTTACTGACAATGAATAATTATGCATTTTTAAAAGATTATTCATATCATGTACTATAACTTTCATGGATGATATGAACACATAGATGGATTCAATTTTTTTGTAAAAGTATCATCAAAACAGAACCTACCCTCATGATATGTCACAGGAAATGTTAATGGATCATTCGGTTCCTTTTTTTGCTTGTGTATGTTTTATTAAATCAACAGAATCACAATATTTATAAATAATTGGAGAGTCGTTAAATATCAAGAGTAACATAATATGCTGTCTTCAGTTTTTGCAAAGGGTAAAATAAAAATGTTATAATGAATGATACCATGGAATGGAAAGTTTAACCTTCATCACAAATGTTCACACATGTTTTTTTATCTTTCAGCTCCTGTGCTAGCGACGTACTGTGGAGGTAACATCCCTGCATCCATCGATACATCTGATGCTTATGCCTACGTCGTCTTTGTCTCCAACTCAGACTCTAATACTGGATCTGGATTCTCTCTTCAATTCACTGCCAGTCTAGAAGGTTTGTTTATCAGGCGCATGTAGATTGGGTGTCAACATGAAGGGTTTTCACATACAGGGCATCCCCACTCTAACATGTTTTTAGATTTGAACTTAATGATATACAGTGCTAACCTGTTCTAAGATTTTCAAGAAAATAAAATTGGTGAGTTTAGATCTTTGCAGATAATTAGAGTTGCTCTAAGGATCTGCAGATTGTATTTTGGAAGAAATATTTCTTCAGTATATGCATTTTTGTGTTGTTTTGCAGCCAACTTGACTGATTTTGACCTTTTGTCATCTTAGGAATTGTAAATACCTTTAGATAAAGAAACATATGCTGTCTTCATTAACACACGTTGTACTCAAAATTGTTATTTCTCTCTTGATTTTTAAACACAGAATGTGGAGGAGACTTGGTATCAGCCACAGGCTCTTTCTCTTCACCCAGCTACCCTAACCAGTACATGCACTCTAGGGTGTGTGAATGGCGTATCACTGTTCAGATAGGTCATCAGGTCAATCTCTACTTTGCTGACTTTGATGTGGAAGACTCCTCAACTTGTGCCTTTGACTCTGTTAAGGTAATATTCCATTCACAATTTATATAAATTTCATGAAATGTGCATTCACTATGTCTGTAAGGGCTTCACAGATTTGTCATTATTACTATTATTGCATCGGATGAAGACTTTTCCGTACACAATGTGTGAACATTCTGTACTCTATTTGGAGCCTGCTACATGCCATTTTACAGCCTGATTGAATGCCATCGATGTTCCCATCCTACTGGGTACACATTTGTGCACTTGAGTAGAGGGAAACAGTAATATCTTGATAATATATCAAGTGTAATGACAGGGCTTGAACCCATGAGCTGTGTATCTGTGGACAACTGCTTGACCATGATACCTCTACATCAAGGAGTTGTGGAGTGAAATACATTAGACATTGATTTTGAAAATGTTTGATATACATCGATACCATTGCCTGTAATAGAATGATAGATTAATACCAATATGGGGCCTTTCTTACAGGTATACAATGGTTTAGCTGACAACTCTCCTCTGCTAAACACCCTGTGTGGGATAGAGACTCCAGACATGATCTCCTCCAGTGGTAACACCATGCGAGTCGTCTTCAGTACAGATGGTTCAGTTGCAGGTCGAGGGTTCCAAGCTCGCTATGACTCTAATGATGCATCAGGTAAGGATGGCTAATGAAAATGCAGAAGATTTCTCATTAAAGAAGAAGTTTGTTAGAATTATTCCTGGAAATCACATTCACCCAAAAGTCTGAATCATATGAGACCTGAGGCAACAAATTCTCCATGATCTATTTGCTACATTAGCTTAATTCCTAACTTTAACTCTAGACCTTACACTATAAAGGGCTATATGTAGAGATGAGACCTAAAGTTTATGCAAAACCCTTGCCATTGGCTCTTATATCATGAGGTTGGCCAAAAAAAAAAGTTTTTAACACGTATGGCAGCCAGATTGAGCAATCTGAAGCTTTTGTCATCTGACTATTTATGTTGCAAACTTGTTAGTACACCCTTGAAATGTAAGTTAGATATAAGGTGAAAACCTGTTTTAGCAACCACCTGTATAGAAAGAACTCCTGTCTCTAAAGATCACATCTTTTCTGTCATACAAAAGATATTTCTCATTGAAATGTGTATTAAAGAAACCTGTATATTAATACCACCTGCCTATAAAGACCACCCTCTTCTCTCCCTTGAGTAGTCTTTCTATACAGGTTTCAATGTAATTCTTTATCATCTATTTGATTGTTACAGTGTGTGGAGGTCAGCTGACAGTCAGGCCTGGTGGATCAGGATATATCTTCAGTCCTCAGTATGGAATAGCAAACTACTCAAACAATCTCAATTGTGAATGGACTCTTGGAAACTCTGCCATCACCAACAGCTCCCTCTATCTCACATTTGAAGATGGTTTTGATCTGGAATCTAGTAGCACATGCTCTTTTGACTATCTCCAGTTGTTTGAAGGTACAGTATTCCTTTTAAGAAACTTTTATTTCCGTTATATGTCCAAATATGTGATAAACTTGAAGTTATATTGCAATTATGAGATTATAAGAAGTTTTCCTTCTTTGCCTATTCTTCTAAGAGAGTATTAGCTGAGAGTAAACTTGTGAACAAGCATGACGGCTCAGTGGTAGAACTGTGCTGCCATAAGGCCTAAAATAAAAACTTGTTGCATTGCCCTTTGCAACCGACCCAAAAATCTGAAAATCTATGGTCGGCATTTTAAAAAAGATTTTTTTTTTTAACCGTTTTTTTTATATTTTTTTTTATTAATGAATACAGAAATATGTATTTCGTTTGTTTAAATGGGATATAAATGCATAAAATCAAATTATTCCAAAACTCTCACTCCTGCAAACCATGGATAATTATGAGGTGAAAAAGATATCAATGGAATGATGACGCTGAAACACATGTATTAAAGCATTAAAACTGAGAAATATCAGCGCAAATGGGGCGGGGAAAAACGAGAAAAAAAAAGAAAAAACCTTCAAATTTGAAAAATATCGGCCCAAAGTGGGCGACCAAAAAAAAAAAAAAAAAACTTTTCCGACCGACCGACCCATGTTTTGGCACCCAAAGGGCAATGCAACAAGTTTTTATTTTAGGCCTAATTTGGAGGTCCTGGGTTCAAATTGATGTGATACTCATACAATATGATGTGCCAATGCCCTTTGGTAAGGCAATGATCCCCAATTTCATTTCTTAAATCCTTGGATCGTCTGTTCACTTATCTACAAGTGTATATTTCCTTTCTGAGCAGCCTTGTCAAATGAATTTATCATCATAATGATGATAATGGTAATGATACCTATAGTAATGATAATGATGATTCACACATTTGCTGTGCTCCATGGATCTATTTAACTTTTCTTAGCCACAGAGGTATATTGAAATGAGGGATTTATGAAAAAATGAATGTGTCTGTGAGAGAGAAAAAGAGAGAGAGAGAGAGGGGGAGATTAAATGAATTTAGTATATTCAAGAAATCCTTGACATTGATACCGTGACATGCCTGATTGTAGGATCTGATAGCACTGGAGTAGAGTTAACAAGGTTCTGTGGTACGACGGCTCCTAATCCATACTTCATCCCGTTCCAAACCACCTTCCTGAGATTTAGAACTGATGGCAGTGTGGTAGGAGAAGGATTCAGAATGCAGTACCAGGCATCAGGTCAGTTTCCTTCTTTGCTCACTGCTAAAGAATTTGAATTCTTGAAGCAGTGTTATAAGTAGCCACCCGTCTTAGATCACAACGAATAACATTATTTCAATCTGTAAGAGATCATGTGATATGAGTAAATTATAAATAATTGAATACTGTTATAAAGTGATGATCTAGTTTTGTTGTGCAAACATGTTTGCTATGATAACATTTGAAGCATAAAGAGTTATCCATAACAACAACAAAAACTAAGCTGAAAGATAATTTATGAATGTAAATTTGAATGTACTATTGAATACAATGCGTGAACACAGCAGATTTTAGATGTGGGATTGTAAAGGAAAATACAGGTTTGGTAAATGTATTTATCATATTTCCTATCAGGAGATCTTAAAATACCTATTATTGATTTTGATATATTTAAGTATATTGCATAGTTCAATTTACTAGAGTCAGTGACTGAAATGACTATCATTTTCATCTATGATAAGTTATACAAAAATATTTAATCTGTATTTTGTATGTTGTATTCATTTGTTTCCTGTATAAGTATTTTTTTTTTAATTATACACCTTTGCTGCAGAAGCACATTGATCAAAACTATTCCTGTCTTATTTCAGGTTGTGGTGGAATTGTGTCGGGTACATCCGGTGTTATTACCAGTCCTAACTTCCCTAACGACTATAATCATGATGACCATTGTGCTTGGAGGATAGATGCTCCTGTTGGAGAAACAATAACTGTAAGTTAGTCATTACAACAGCAGATAATAATAAATGGCACATTTTGATCATCAGTTTTCTCATGATCTTGTTAATGTGTTTTCTATCAATAAATGACGGAGGTGGGTTGTACCACACTGTGACAATTGCCCCACAGTCAATATCCTGCTATAACCAAATGCATAACTCAACCCTGGACCCAATACTGTATGTAACCTTAACCCTAAATCTTTACCATTGGTTAAATAAAGCTCAGAGGAATTGTTGCAGGAACAAATGTTGGGTCACTTGAAGATGAGCTATAAACAGATATGTCTTTGTATGGATATTACAGAATGGTATTTTACTTTCAATATTCAATGTTTTAAACCCATTTATAATAATGATTCCAATCTTCAGAACCCATTCTCTTGTTATATTTATTAGAATTAACAGCAACATGTTTAACTCCCAAATAGTACTCCCGAAAATTTCTACTCCTAAATGGTACTTTTTTCAAGAAAGAAAATTGTGGAGGCATGCATATTGAATGAATTGGAGGTACACTGTGAGGGTTGATACTATGCAAAGTTACACACATCCATAACATCTTTGTTTCTCTTTTGTCTCTCTTTTTTTCTAGTATACCTTCACATCCTTCAACATCGAGACTGATCCTAACTGTGGTTATGACTATCTGTCTGTGAGAAATGGGGGTTTCCCTAACTCCCCTCAGATTTCTGGTCAGTACCCCCTCTGTGGCAGCGTGGCTCCAAGCAGCTTCACGTCGTCTAGCAACCAGCTCTTTATCATCTTCAAGACTGATCAATCAGGGTCGGCTGGAGGCTTTAGGATGGAGTGGACAACTGTCACTAATGGTCAGTTGAAGTAGAATTGAAATAGAAATTTGACTTGTGTTGGTGCCACCAAAATTATCTCGCAATGTACTAGCATTACAGTGAAATGCAGCAAAAGTAGACTTTACAATATAAAATGAATATCAGAACAAATTAAAGGAAATTAACTAACCTTGAGAGAAATTACAAAACGAGCATTATTGCCCTCATATTATGAGAAAGACTAGATGTAGGCGAGTTAGAAGTATAACAGGGAGATATAGAGGGCTGTGGATGGATATTATGGATAATGACATTGATTACATTTAGGCATAAAAACAGATTTAATTCTCTTAGAAGGGAATTGTGAAAGAAAGTTTTGATAAGAGGAATGATTAGACTCATTTTGGTTTTATTCGCATTCAACACAAATAAGAGACCATATACTGAAGACTAATTATATCATATTTACAATATACGATTGATAACATAAAATAAGCATAAGAATTAAACATCAGAGTCATGAATACAAAGTAGATGAGGTGGTGAAATACGATTATGATCTGACACAAAAATCAGTAAAGCACTGAACCAACTCTGCAATTTGATAGTCCAATGGATTTAGAAGTCAGCCTGTAAAATATAGGTCATAAAAATTGTTAGCATGAGGGTCTTCCCCGGCCCCCCCCCCCCCCCCACTCCGGGGTCGATGGGCTGCATGTGTGTTTCTAAAATCTCTGGTAAAGGGGTACTTTTTTCTCCGACAAAGTCTGGCCCGTATTGACTTTCACACTGGAGATAGGGGGATGCATTCAAATGAAGGGAACAAGCATACATGTACCCTAAATAAAACTGAGTGGGTGGGGGGGGGGGGGGGGGGGTCATTCCTATTTGATTAGTGGAGAGATTAAGGAATTGTGATATTATCAGCTAAATTGTTTACATTGGATGTATTGATTGGTAAAGGTTAAAGTGGATGTAAAATTTGCTGTTTGATATTAGATGTTTCAAAATTTGTTTAAATTAATTATCAGGATCAAGCAACGGTGATGGTAAATTGTAATATAACTATTAAAGTTGAATATGATATGATTTATTCAGATAGAGCTGGATTTATTTTTAGAATTTTAATAATAAGAGGCTTTTTCTTGTGATATAGCAAATTACTGATTAAGTAATTAATGAACCCTTTTAATAGATATAAAACTAATCTACGCTGTCTGTTATTATGCTAGGTTGTGGAGGTAACTTCCACGGGACAACAGGAAGCATTCAGACACCCAACTATCCTAGAAACTATGATGCAAACGCAGAATGTGTATGGAGTATCCTATCCGATGATTCTATGCATATTAATCTTGACTTTGACCCAAACTATGGCCTTGGCACTGGTGACACTATCGAGGTGAGGGGAATTTCAAAACATAGTTTGTTGAAAAATGAGGATTACATGCAGTGTACATTTTTAATTTTCTTTCATTTATCAGATCTGTTGTGATTTCTGTGTTTCCTAAATCTGGATGTAGCTTTTTGAAAGTACATGAGTGTAGTTAACCTTTTGCAGGAGCAAGGTCACATGTTTATGAGATTCTTGATTATCATTGTCATATAGAGACTAATATTTGTTGTCAGTGAGTCCAGTCCTACAGTATTTTGAATTTAATTTGATATCTGAGATTTGGTTGTGGAGAAACATAGGCAATGACCTTATGAAGATATTGTATGTTGCATATAAAGGGCATTGGATGGATACATATTGTAGCGTAAATTCTTAGTTTGATCCGTCTTTTCTTGGCATGATAAAAAAAATTAATGTCCGTTAGACATTCAACATCTGTATCATATCTCATGTTTTTCTGAACAGTTCTTTGATGGATTCAATGAGCAGGCGCCTTCCTTAGGGATGTTTAGTTCATCATCTCCTGCTACCCAGGTATCATCAACTCATAACATGATAATGGTCAGGTTCCGTAGTGATGCTAGCACACAGAACGTTGGGTTCATGGCAACTTGGACTAGTGGTATGTATGCCTTTTTAGATATTGTTGTAGAACGATGTTAGATATGAAGGGTAGATCGCATTTAATTCTTGTTCACACATGAAGTTAGAAACTGCCTGTGTCTGTGTGTGTGTGTGTGTGTAAACTTGACAAAGTAGCAGGGACTGTGTTGTGAATATGACTTTATTGTGATGAGTTGTAGTATCTTGAACAGAGGTGTTGGAATAAAAGGGTGGTAGGATATGTAAGGAAAGTTCGTGATTAATCTCAGACTGTAGTTACAGTAACTTTCTTGTAATCATCTATATTAAACAAGAGTCCATTCTCTGCTTTTTTAATGTGAGAATACATCAATGGAAACAGTATGTGTTAATGCTCAAGGTGATAGCTAGGTATATGATGACAAAGATCATCTGTGGCAAGAGATTGATAGGAAAAGCATAGTTCAATGAACTGTCAGTGTCTCTTATCATAGAATATTGCGTGTGAAATGAATAAGTATTATTGATTCTCTAAAAGTCATGTAATTCTCTGAAGTATATATATCCTTGTTTTTAGCTCATCCGGCCCGAAGGGCCCGATGAGCTTATGCCATGCCGTGGCGTCCGTCGTCCGTCCGTCCGTCCGTCCGTCCACAATTTTCAAAATGCTTCTTCTTCATTATTTTTCAACCGATTTTGATTCTGATTGTTTCATATGATAGGGCTAGGAGGGGGATTTAAAACTTCTACACAGAATCATGAAATTCATTATCTATGCTAATTTATGCAAATTTATTCAAAATCACAAAAAATGCTTCTTCTCCTTCATTTCTTGACCGATTTTGATTTGGTTTACTTTATCTGGTAGAGCTAACTTTGGTACACTAAACTTCTACACAGAATTTTGAAATTGTTCTCCATTAATTAATTATGGTAATTTATGCAAATTTATTCCAAAAATAACAAAAATTGCTTCTTCTCCCTCATTTCTTGACCGATTTTGATTTGGTTTGCCTTATCTGGTAGAGCTAAATTTGGAACACTAAACTTCTACACAGAATTTTGAGATTTTGCTCCATTGATTAATTATGGTAATTTATGCAAATTTATTCCAAAAATAATTTAAAAATCACAAAAAATGCTTCTTCTCCTTCATATTTCAACCGATTTTGATTTGGTTTGCTTTATATCCTAGAGCTAACTTTGGTAGACTAAACTTGTACACAGAATTTTCAAATTTTTATTTTTTGACTGGTTCAAAAGTGTACCACATGAAATTTACTATATTTGTTGTTGCGAGATGCGGATGAGCGCTACGTCATTGACGTTCTGGTTATTTCATTTCTGAACAGAATGTGGAGTGGAATATATTGATGTTGGAGAAGGTTCCATTAGTTCACCTGGCTATCCAGACGCCCAGTACTCTAATAATCTCAACTGTAGCTACAAGATAAGCGTGGGTTCAACTGTTCCTCTTGTCATGAATTTTGAGGATCCCTTCGATATTGAGAGTAAGTGTTGTGGTTGAATATGATAATGATTTATTTCCTAAGGTCTAAAGTTAGTCATTGTTATGATGTGTTATTCTTGTTGTTTGTTAGTTTGCTTGGTTGATTTTTTAAGGAATTTTTGGATAAGCAGCCCAAATTAACAGAGTTACAAGTTAGTTTGTCTTTCTTATGTTCCCTGTTTTATGGCAATTTTGAAAATATTTACCATTTTGTATATTCTAGTTACAAGATCTGTACATATACTCAGGCCTGATAAATATCTGATTTAAAACGGTTTCCCGATTTTTTTCCTTTTTTTCTCCTTCTTTTTTCCCCCATTTTTTTTTCTTCCCGATTTTACTCCTATTTTCCAGATTTTCCCCTGATTTTTTTCAAATTTTCTTACTCAAAAAGGGGGAATGTTCTTAGATGCCATTTTTTAACAAATACCAATTGAAAAATTTGTTTATTTGAAGAAGATTTCCTCTTTTAGTGCTCGTTATTATTTTCTGTATCATGTTTTATGATCAGGTCATGGTACTTGTGCCTATGATGGATTGAGTGTGTATGCCGGTACAGATAACCAAGGCACATTAATGGGTACTTACTGTGGAACCACTACGCCATCATACTTTGAAGTCACAGGACCTGTCTATCTCAACTTTTACACTGATGGTAGTGTTACTGGAACAGGATTCAAACTCAATTTTGAGCAAGGTATTCTTTATTTTTCAGTTCATTGTGTTTGCCTTTTTTGATATTTCTTAAATACCTTTCACAATGATTTAGAAGCTAATAGAAATGTTTCATCGAGGGTAGAGTCACTTTTTGGCTTTTTTATTACACATCTCCATCAGTTCTTTTACTTGGTGCATATCACATACTTAATAATTGAATATGTTCTCCCATCAGTAGGACTTTGACTTTTACCTTTATGGAACGCATTATGAAATTTACCCTTCTCAGCAGTTTCATTTAATATAACCACTGCTCCAAATGACACATATATGTGAAATAATTTTTTTCATTAAGTTCTTATAAGCATCAGTCATCTTTCATTTTTTCCAAAGAATGTTCTACAGGTACTAATATTACATGGTATGATAATAGGTGTTTGTGTATTATTACAGGTTGTGGTGGAGTTTTCACAGCTGATTCTGGTCTTATCACCACTCCGCCCCACCTGACAGCATACAAGAATGATCAGAACTGTACATGGCTTATTACAGTAGACTCAACCAAGAATGTAGAATTCAAGTCAGTTTCTATTATTGCTCTTTTTATTTTCTTAACTATTATTATTACTACCATCATTATAATTGTTTTTTTAATCAGTTGTAGTAACTTTGGTGGTTATGAATCATCCTAGCCAATGGAAAATAGCAGATAGATGTATGAATAAAGTCTCTTTGGATTCGGGGGATTTTGTTCACAATTGGGTAGGTTCCTGTGAGTAATAACATGACATTTTCATACTCGTGACAACATCACATACGGACTATGGCTGTTTCTCTGATAAAATGTCTTGTGTGGATGGAAAGGATACTTTCCAGACTGATACATTTATGTCTGGTGGAAAAATCCTCTAAAAGCAGCTCAGACATTGCTTTATTTGAGTAAAAATGCTCTTGTATGTTTAATAACAGAGAACTTACCTACCAGACACTCGTTGTAAAATGTTTTTATTTATATTTATATTTCAAGGCTATTAAAGTTACAGAATTCAAAAGTTATCTGGTTAAGATGAGAGTTTACAAAGCTTATTCTTCATATTTTTTCTCCGCTTGTTTTTCGATTTGCACTTCAGATTCGACACATTTGAATTAGAATACCACACTTCATGCAACTTTGACTACGTGCAGCTATTTGACGGTACTGATTTCACTACACCCCTTACCCAACCTCTATGTGGTTCAACCATTCCCCAAGGCTTCTTCCACAGTACAGGCAATTCCATGCTTATCAACATGGTGACTGACTACTCCGTCACTCTCGCTGGATTCTCAGGAGCATATCTGGCTACCTATGGTAAGTTTGGTGGAATTCAGCATGAAATGGGTATTTTAGAATTTTGGTTTTCATTTCATAATCTTCAAGGAGAGTCCTAAGAAGTGGTATGCTGATTGTTTTTATGTAATCAGATTTTTCTTCATTTGCGCACCATCATATTGTTTGTTTGGAGCCAAAACAGCATTAACTTAGAAGGCAAAACATGCATGTGTCAAGTTTGGTCCAGGCTTCTCAGCTATTTTTTCATCAGGTTTTAGAATGAGAAAGCTCACAAGTTATTTGTTATCTTTACCTGAACTCAGTTGTATGCAACCTTCTCTTTATATTATTGACTTACCTTGTCTACAGGACCAAGCCAAGGATGCGGAGGAACAAAGACAGCAGCATCAGGTACCATCACAGACTTTGACATTGATAACAATGGACAGTATGAGAACTCTGTGGACTGTAAGACACAGGTCATTCTACCAGATATCAACAAGGCAGTTCGTATCAGCTTCACTGGTTCATTCAATATCCAGGACTCGACAGACTGTGTCAATGACTATGTGGAGGTACGCAATATTTCCTTTGTACTTTGTCTATTTGGAGCCAGAATGATGTTAATTCATATATTATCAATACAGAGTTAATTGCCCTTCAGACAATGTATTCTTTCATTGTTGAAATATTAAAAAAATGTAATGTATGGTAAAGCTTATCATCTCTTTTGTCACACTGTATTTATTTCCCATTACAATATCTATCTCATTTTTCTTTCTCCTTAAGGTGTCATTTTATGCAAATTACCATGTAAGTTTCTCCTTAAAACTGTCCATTCATGTTGAAACAAAAATCATTGTGTAGTATTAATGTTATATACTTTAAAACTGGACAAGATTGAGTACAGATTTTTAGATAATTTATGTGCAAATTTATAGAAGTTATTCATATTCCATATGGTTATGATTATGTAAAATCTTCCTGTATTTATGATTTGTTTGAAATTTTTACATTTTTTATATAAAAATTCAATGATTAAAACCATGATTATATGACATTGTGACAAAGTATTATATATAATAGTCATGTACATGTCTGAATTCATTGAATTCATTTCTAATTCACTTCTTATTCTCACTCTGTCTCTCTCTGTATGGTGAACCTTTAGATCCGTGATGGGTTTAGTTCAGCATCTCCCATGGTTGGTCGATTCTGTGGTAGTACTGCTCCTGATGATGTTACCCTGTCAGGAAACCAAGCGTATGTGGTGTTCCATACTAATGATGCTGTCACCAGCTCTGGCTTCACCATCCAATACTCATCCGTTGATTGTAAGCATGCTTCATCTGCTACTAAACAGTGTCATCTCATACTTGTGCTTAGTTATCAACCTTTCAAGACTAAAATCTGGCTTAAGACGTTGTGTTACATTATATTGGGCATAAATATACAAGGTATCATTTATGGATACAACTTTAAGATAAGGGAAACTGCTTCTGGTTCTAATAATGATTGGATTTATGAAGTGCCTTTTCCAGAGGATCAAGGCGCTGTTCCTCAGTCTATAAACAAATTAACAAGAATTGTACAGGTATATTTTCAGATGTTTTTTTAAGAAGTCAAATGAGGTACTTTTTCTTAGAAATGCTGAAAGTTTATTCCATACAGAAGCAACGGATTGGAAGGATTTAAACCCAGTCTGTTTTGGGGGAAGGGAAGGAGCTGATGTAGATCAGAGTGAATATGATGTTCTGGGAGTAAACTGTAGAACTGCCTAGTCCAAACAAACTGGTACACACTAAGTTCTGGATCAGGCTTTGATGCCCACAGCAGAAGGGGTGAAAATTGTGATCATTCATATTGTGACACGGATGTCTCTGTAATACTGCAGACTTGACTTATCATTGGTGAGAGGTTTAAACACTTTACTTTAGATGCAAAGGTTGTGGGCTGCTGTTGCAGCACTATTGACCCTTGCAAGACTTTAATCTAACTTTGCCACTCTCCACCCAGGTATTAAATGGGTACCTAGTTGGAAGGAATCCTTTGAATGCTGTGAGCGCATATATGAGTAGTATGGGGTGATATTGGAGTGCCTTGCTCACCCTTGTATGGTGAATATGACCGCTGTAGTAACCAGTATTGAGGATATTACATGATTATTATAAATAGACAACAATAACTTGACTTGATATCATCTGGTTTGTATATTTCTTGACAGTGCCATGTGGAGGAACCTTGTATGCGACCACTGCTGCCCAGACCATATCATCTCCCAACTATCCTAACAATTATCCAGTCAACCAGCGTTGCAGCTGGATAATTGACGCAACCAATGCAACTAACCGAGTTCGACTGGAAGCCACTGATTTCAAGGTTGAGGCTCAGGAAGACTGTACCAATGATTACGTTGAGTTCAGAGATCAACCTGTAGTAAGTTGTTATCGATGTCCTTTAATGTTTCATGAAGAGGTGTCCTGGTATTGTAGATACGCCAGTGGACTGTCAATCATTTGGTTTGCCATGTGAGTCCCAGCTTGCTACTAAAGTCCTTTGGCAAGACTTAACCTACATATGCTATTTTCCTTCCAGTTAGAGTAAATGGGTGCCTGATAAAAATTTATTACTCGAATCATTTCAGCAACTTGGGGTAGTGGTGCTAAGAATTCCTGAAAAAGCTGTACTTAAAATGATTGAATTATGAATAGTTTTGTGTCGTGGTCGAGTGAATACGTCGACGGACTGTCGATCTTATGGTCCGCGGTTCGAGTCCCGCCACGGCACTAATGTCCTTTGGCAAGACATTGATCTACATTTGCCACACTCAACCCAGGTGATGTAAATGGGTACCTGGCAGGAATTAATTCCTTGAAATGCTAGTGCGCCGCAGTGGCTGCCTTGCTAAAGCCAGGGTAATAATCAGGGCAGCGCCAGGAGCGTCACAACGTGACGGACATGTGCGCTATATAAGAAGCCACCATCATTATTATTATTATTATTATAGACCATTGAATCCATTGTCTACTGGGACCGAGTGGTTCCTGTATTATACCTATGGGAAAGAGTGAATTCAGTAGTCAGCGGGTTAACTGTTGTGAAGTCTTACCTATATTATATAATCACTTCCAGTGAAGTGTTGGATTAACATTTTTTTTTTTTTTTTTGTTTTTTTTTTTTTGTTGTTGTTTTTTTTTTTTTTTTTGGGGGGGGGGGGGTTAACAACAGTGGAATGTGGCAGAGAATCCCTACATGTACCACTTGTCTTTTTTATTGTGGAGCTAATGATGGAAACATTTTTCTCTGCAGGGATTGGATGGTCGAGTAATGAGGCACTGTGGTTCAAGCCTCCCACCAACCTTTGATTCCAGTGGACAAACCGCCCAGGTGTACTTCTACTCAGATGCTGTTTCATCTACCACAGCTAAAGGATTCTCTTTGCAATATTCCATAGCAGGTAAAAAGCAGATCAGTAAATAAAGAAGGTTATTATCTATTTACGGCTTCCAAGTGGTACAATAAATCAGTGTATTTAATATCTTGAGCGCAGTACCCGGATGACTGATCAATATTGTTTTCGTATTGCTCAGTCATCCGTGAACTTCAACTATCGATATTGATATCACACGAGAACAAATTTTGTTATTTGGCTAGTCAGCCTGATGAAGCCTAGGCCTAGATGATAATACTAATATTAAATATGGCTTTGTTTTTGTGTGATACAAGAATATATTGCTCTCGCTATGGCAATATTGGACTTGTCTCCGACTCATTCAATATTATCACACTCTAAGCCATCCAATATTATATAAAGATTCCATTCATGAAGTCAAGATAGAAAGTAAGTCCAGTACTGTATCTGTAATGGAGCTGAAGTACCAGCCTTTTGTCCTTGTAAAGGTGAATAACAATTTGTCAATCTTTGTCTATTCTATTGTCTTTTATCTTGTCTTATGTAGTTGTCATCCTTTTCCAGTTCAGTTCATCCTTCTCCCCATTTACATCTAATACTTTCCTTCATATTTTTCTTCTACTTTGAATATTTTTCTTCATCACTTTCTTGAGTTTTTTGTTGTTTTCTTGCCATTTTATATTTGTTTGATTTGTTGCTCAACTTTCCTTTACCATTTGTATTTTATATGCAGTGCATAAAGTGAGATGCTATAGGCCTACACACATTTTTTGAGGATGAGGATAACATTTGTAAGAAATTATTTTGTAAATAATCAGAAGTAATAATGCAGGCAAATGGTCAAAATTAGCATTCTGCCTCCCATTTCACTGTGCCATATTCAGTATATTTATTTTAATTTTTTCTGAAGGATTACTCTTTAAGTTCTGTTTGACAATATTTTCTCCTACAGATTGCAACAGGAATTATAACCAAACCCATGGCACCATCATGACGCCTGGATATCCCAGTGTGTATAGCAATGGCCATGACTGTAGCATACGTGTTACCAGCCCAGTAGGGACATACATCTCTCTCTACTTCAATCACTTTGATGTAGAGTCCCATCCAGACTGTGTCTATGACAGTGTAACGGTAAGCTGACTAGGTGGCATGTAAAGATACGGAATGCTAAAAGGTGATTTTATGCAATGTGATCCTGTGCAACATACAACATTTATCCATATATTCCATCTGTTAGAGAAAAATCTCTTTGATGTGACTTTGACTAATGGTAGTGATACAAGAAAGCATGGATGAAATGTGGAAAAAAGAAAATTGCATGGATTCAGCCGTAACCATAATTATTGGTGATATTACTGAATAATACATGAAATTTCTCATACCCGAATGACTTTTTTTGGCGTTCACCAGCTACATGTCCTAATTATAGCGGCACGCCAAGGGGTCATAGCAGGATGTAACATCCCCGACAGCCAGTATAGAAACAGCTATGCTTCAAACATTAAAGCAGTCCATATATCTTTTATAAACCCAATTCACAAAAAATCTACAAAGAATTCTCACCTTATCCTTTTCTTGAGTAAAGATTGGTTAAAACATCACAGAAAATCTGAGACACTGTCTGTAAATCTTCGCTGGAAAGTTGCCTGAATGTTACGTTAATTGGGAATCGCACACACACTGCACTTTATAGTATCCGCGCTTGTACAAACAAACTTTTTACATGTAAACCAATGGGGATTTCAGCCAAATTTAACTATGCGGCCCGTTACCCGGGGCAACTGGCATCTTTCTAAAATCACGACTCCAATTTCGACCAATCAGATGACTAGATTTATTCATCATACTAAAGAGAGATATATAATTTGTTTTAGTGCCTCTAATGCTGTTGTTGCTGTTAATATTATCATTATTGTTATTCTTGTCATGTATAGGTGTATAATGGATCAGATGCCAATGCTGCTGTGGTAGGCACATACTGTGGTGATGTCCTTCCTCAACCTATCTTTGCCAGTGGGAATGATCTTTTCATACGCTTTGTAACAGATAGTTCAGTGACACGTGGTGGTTACGATGCCTCATTCACATCATCTAGTGTCCAAGGCAAGCTCACTTTAATGCTATTTTATGGATTTTTGATTTTGATTTACTGGTCTACTGTCTTGTTTCCATTGCAATGTATAGTTAAACGAAAGCTGATAAAATGGCAATTTGCTAGTTGTCTTTCTTGTTCAGCTGAAACTGCCACAAAATAAATGTATAATTATGAGCATTGGCAAAGAATCCGTATAGTATCACTCATATCTACACGATACTTAGCCCAGCACATAGTGGAGGTAAGTTGCATGTATAATTATAATAATAATAATAATAATACATAACATTTATTAGGCGCTTAATACTGATGTTTCTAAGCGCACAGTGTTCTGATTAAGAGAAGACTATAACCCGTAGAATTAAATTAGCAAAAAGAAAAGAAGAAAAAGCAAAAATACAAAAGTAACATAGATAAGGTAAGAAAAACAGTGGCAATCAACTAAATAAAGACAAATATGGTGCGCACCTCCATTGACCGACGCACAACTGCAATTTACAATTTGAAAAGATAGGTTTTGAGTAGAGATTTGAATTGAGATACAGAGGGGGCGCAGTGAATAAAGGCGGGCAGTTTGTTCCAGAGAGCGGGGGCAATAACTGAAAAGGCGCGGTCACCATACCGGGTGTTAGTGCGGGGTCCAGGTGTTAACAGTAATGTGGAAGATGAACGAAGTGTTCGTGACGACGTACGGGAACGTAAGGATATGAGATCGGAAAGGTAAGAGGGGGCTAAGCCATTGATAGCTTTGTAGCACAGGAGAAGAATTTTGAAGGATATGCGGTGGTGAATTTTAAGCCAATGTAGTGAGTTCAATATTGGAGTTATGTGCTCTGATTTACGCGAGAGAGTCACAAGCCGAGCAGCGCTATTCTGTACCCTTTGAAGTGGGACTAGATGTGACTGAGGGAGGCCAGAAAGAGAAGAATTACAGTAATCGATATGGGTCGAGACAAAAGCATGGACTAATTTTGAAGTTGTGGGTCGGTCAAGTAGCCTCCTGATTCTACTGATCTTATATATACCAAAGGAAGCAGACTTACAAATATTACTAATGTGTTGTTTGAAAGTAAGATTGCTGTCAATATTTAAACCAAGGTCACGCACAGAAGCACAACAACTGAGAGATCCATCACTCATAACAAGATCAGGAAAGGGGTCTGAGTTCCGAAATTTAGAAGTAATATGAATCATTTCAGATTTTGAATCATTAAGGCAGAGACAGTTTTGAAAAGACCAGGTTTTGATTTCATTGAGGCAACTGGTGAGTTTGTTCGCGGCTACTGTCCTGCTGTTTGGGTGAAGAGTTACATAAATCTGGGTGTCGTCTGCATACATAGTGTGTTGAATATTCTGATGAAGGTTAATAACATTTGAGAGAGGGCTGGTGTAAAGAATAAACAGGAGGGGGCCGACCACGGAACCCTGAGGAACGCCGCAGATGAGGGGAAATGATTCCGAGTTGGTGTCATTGATGATCACCTTCTGAGTTCGGTGCATGAGATAGGAGCGAATCCATTGAAGTACGGTGCCGGTGATGGAGAAGTCGTTCTCTAAGCGATGGAGTAACAGGTCGTGGTTGATAGTGTCAAATGCGGCAGTGTAATCAAGCAAGATGAGGACAGCTTCATTACCCTTATCTACAGCTAGAAGTAGGTCATTTAGGACCTTGACAGTTGCAGTCTCAGTAGAATGATGATTCCGATAGGCAGATTGGTGGATTGGAAACAAACCGAGATTGTCAATGTGGGCTTTCAGCTGTAGTGACACAATACGTTCCAAAACCTTCCCAAGGAATGGCAGGTTTGCGATGGGCCTGTAGTTCTTAAGTCCATTCGTGTCGAGACTCGGCTTCTTTAGGAGGGGAAGAAGCAGAGAAGTCTTAAAAGACTCTGGAACTATTCCGGATGATAACGAGAGATTGAACAGTTTGGTTATGTGAGGAAGGAGTTCATCGAGGACTTCCTTTAGAAGCCAGGTAGGAATCGGATCTAGCTTACAGTGTTTAGAAGGAAGTGAAGTGATGAGCTTCCTGACTTGTGAGAGGGATACAAGGCAGAAATCAGAGAGTTCATGACGAGGGCCTGAAGCAAAAGATCTTGAAGCTGGTGCTGGTACTACATTAGGGAAAGAGGATACAACTTTGGCGACTTTTTCCCTGAAGAATGTAGCAAATCTGTTGGCGAGTTCACTATCAGAAGAATGATCTGGAAGAGGTGAAGATTGAGTGGGCGTTGAGAGTGTCTTCACAAGACGAAACAGTTCTTTAGTGTCAGCATTCTTGATGAGATCTTTGAGATACGCTGACTTCGCATTGAAGATGCACTCATAATATGACTCGCATTCACGGCGGTACAGCTCTCTATCAACAAAAAGTCCAGACTTGATCGAACGACGTTCCGCACGACGCCTTCGCCTCTTGGCTTCCTGGATATCATCGGTAAACCATGGCGCATCAGGTCTGATTGATACAGTCTTGACCTGGATTGGAGCGTGCTTATCAATCAACGTCCGCAAAGATGAGTTGTAATGCTCCGCGGAAGCAGATGGACAAGATAGATCAGGAAGTGAATGGAACATTGTGTCAATAGAGTTATGAGATTTGTTTTTGAAAGACTTTTTTTGTGAAAGAATCTTCTAAACATCTATCAAATTGGTGTCATGCTGAACCTTTTCAGGTTGTTGAGGGGGGGGGGGAGGAGAGGTAAGCTATGAATATTGTGATACTGGTGATTTGTTTGTTGAAGAATTCTTTTGGCAGAGAATCTTCAAGAGAAATCCAACTTTAAAGAAAGCGGAAATATCAGAGAAGCAGACTGGTGAATGTTTGAGCAAAACAAAGAAAGCTATGAAATTTTGAAAGTTGTAATCGCTATACGTATGGGAACTTTAAAGTGACTGAATCGATAATGTCATGGTGATGTTGTCCTTGACAACTTTCCCATTTGCTCCCAACACACAAATCGATTAAAATTAAAACAATTTCTTTCAAAAGGTATGATTCAGGAGGGTCTTTTCTTTTTAAAAGATCTATAAATATATTTACTATCCATAATGTATTTCAGTAGGGCACTAAGGAGAAAACCAAAATTAATGGTATTTCTGTACAAAATAAACAGGAAAGTCGTCCTCGATTACGTCACAATTCACTAATCCAATTGCCAATTGAGATTCACATTTAACTTTAGTGATCTCATATTTAATGTCTAGAAAATTAAGATTTCCCCTATCATAATAATTAACAGCTTGTGGAGGTAATTAAATTTCTAATTGTGTGATTTGTGTGTTAAAGAATCCTCCTAACATGTAAAATCATTGTCATGCTTGACCCCTAATAAGTTGTGGAGGTAAACTGAAGCAGTAAACTTGTCAAAGCATCATCTAACATATATCAAACCTTCAATCAATGTCCAACAGGTTGTGGAGGTTCGCTAAGCGGTCAGCACGGTAGCTTCACCAGTCCCATGCACCCTGCTGTCTACCCTACCAGTCAAACATGTGAGTGGATGATCAAGGTTCCTGCAGGGGGGCAACCTGTTACCCTATCCTTCACCACATTCAACATAGAGGGCACCGAAGGGGTGTGTAACGAGGATGTGATCGAGGTCTACGATGGTGCGGATGCAACGGCTCGTCTGCGAGGGCGCTATTGTGGAACGGTGAGTGGTTTTGTCCCTTGTCTCTCATAATCTTTGTTGAGATGGAACGGTGTTGTTATGTCATGCTTTAGTGCTGCTGGCTGGGGTGAAGGAGATATCGATGTGGTTGAATTTCATATCCAATGGCTTTTCTTTTGTGTGATGTGAATTTTAGTTTTGTCTTTGATGTAGAGCACAATAAAATATTTAGGATTTTTGTTCATGAATATCATTATAATTCACTGATGACTTTTGCTAGTATTTTTATTGTATTCTAAGTGTATTTTATTCTTGCTCAAGTCTCCCCTACATGCCTTTTATCCATTTATACACTATTTTATGCCTCCGTTACGAAGTAGCCGGAGGCATTATGTTTTTGGGTTGTCTGTCCGTCCGTACGTACGTCTGTACGTACGTACGTCCCGTTCTCGTGATCGCGTTATCTGAAGAACCGATTGATGGATTCCTGCCAAACTTTGGCCATGTATGTATCTTGCAGAGCCGATGAACTGAGTAGATTCTGGGGTCACGTGGTCAAAGGTCAAAGGTCACAGGGCTCATTATGTATGCAAAAACAGCTCGTGATCGCGTTATCTGAAGAACCGATTGATGGATTCCTGCCAAACTTTGGTCATGTATGTATCTTGCAGAGCCAATGAACTGATTAAATTTTGGGGTCACGAGGTCAAAGGTCAAAGGCCACAGCGCACATTATGTATGCAAAAACAGCTCGTGATCGCATTATCTCAAGAAGCGATTGATGGATTCCTGCTAAACTTAGATCATGTATGTTACTTGCAGAGCCAATGAACTGAGTAGATTCTTGGTTCATAAGATAAGGTCAAAGGTCATGGGCTCATTATGTATGCAAAAATAGCTTGTGAACGCTTTCTCATTAGAACTGACAGATGGATTACTATTTAACTCAGGACATCTTGCAGAGCCAATGAACTGAGTAGATTTTAGGGTCATGAGGTCAAAGATCAAAGGGTCATATATGTATATGAGAAATTGCTTGTATTCACGATATTGTAAGAACCTGTTAATGGATTACCATTGAACTTGAATTCAAAAAATTTCTTCTGTTTTGGTTTGTAAAATTGCTCCATGACGGAGGCATCATTTTCGACTGCGTGCAGTCGAAGTTCCATCTAGTTACTTTTATATTATTGTGGAAAATAAATGAACTACCATATCCAGGTTACATCAAATGAGAAGTTATAAATATAATTTTTAAAGATTATGCACAGGAAATTCTATAGCAGCAAAATGTTTCTATTGAAGATTTGTCTAGAAGTGTATTATTGGATAAAAAAAATCTATTATTACCCTAAACGAAGAAGGCAGATGTTTTATTTGTTTCATACCTCCTTAATCGGAGTGATTGCGCAGTAAGCTACCCCTGGATCATACAGTTAGTGGAAATGATGAATTATTTATTGTCTTGCAGATTGCAAATGATTGAATAATCACTCTGTTTTTTCAAAGCTGCAAAAATGAATTGAAGATGAAGTTGAACATTTAGTGTAGACAATTACCTAAGAGCAATTGCTACAGGAGATAATATGTTGTTCAATAATTTATTGCTCTCTAGAGATGACTGGCATACAGGTAATTAGTTTCAAAATAGCCTCAATCATTCTTGAATATGACTTTTTTCCTCTTCATGCAGTCGCCCCCTGCTGATATTGTAGCTTCAGGCAGGGATCTCTTTGTGAGGTTTACAACGAACGGACAAAACCCTACAGGAGACTACCAGTACACAGGATTCAGAGCTACATTCGACAGCTGAGAGAACTCCCCTAGCTACCAAAGGTAATTATTCAACTCATATTGTATTTGTGTTGAAAAGAATTCAACACTTTGCTATCTCAACATTTATTTGTGCCTCTTTGATAGACAGCTGACTATGCGCAGGATCGACGTACAAAATGAATGGTTGACAATGTCACTGACATCTCTTGATGGCCGACGCATGAAAAGAACAGCTGATTTTCATGCTTACATGCAATTAATTGATTTTTTTTACTTGAATGATTATTTCATCTATCTGTGACAAGATTTTGAAACAAATTTTCTCTTCCTTGTTTTTTTTGTTTTGATAAATCCGTAAAATTGAGGGAAATAGGATAGTATATAAGAGATTAAAATCATGATTCCTATTTTGGGTGATATGTGTTATAATATAATGAAGAACAAAAGTTTACATGTACCTGTAGCAAATTCTCCTCAGTCATTTGTATCAAAGAATATGAAAAAATTGAGATTCTTTCAACAGTTGAGAATTCCTTTTTCACCTCACTTTGTATCTGTGTAAAAGGTTTGAATGGGGGGGGGGGGGGGGGCTTGAATAGAATTCGATATTAGTAGCTTTGCTATTACTTGATAGGCAGCTGATAACTCTGATGATGAGCAAGAATGATCGGCAATGTCATTGACATCTTGTTATATCTTTATCTCTTTATCGCTCTCACATGAAAAGAACAGCTGATTTCATGCTTTCATTCAAATACAAATTTGACAATTTCTGTAATTATACAAGACCTTCTGTTTATTTGCCATTGACAAGCTAAAGAAGTGCTCTATTTTAAGCCATTCAACCTATGTTAAGTAGGATGGTAAATGAGAAATTAAATTAAACATTTTTCTTTACGGTGTTAGGTGATGTTATGAGATCAAGAATGAAATTAGGCGAATTCTCCTTCTCCATTTTGTGTATCAAAATATCAACATAACAGAAAGTAGTACAGATTATATTAGGAGAGATGGGTGATGAAGAAAGGAAGTTTTTTTAGAGAGAGAGAAGGAGAGTGTTTATAAGAGGGAGGAAATAAGGGTAGTAGAGAGGATGGGAACAATTTGAAAGTGCTATTTTGTAATAATATTCCCTTTTTTGTCCTTACCTTGACAGATTATAACTTTTCTTGCAAGACGCTCCTTAATCAATGCATCTTCATCAAAAGTGAGAAATTTGACAGGAAGGAGACTACTTGATTCACACATTCCCATGGTCTTCCATATTGGATCAATACTTCATACCGTCTCAATCACACTATGCATTTTTATATCGGTATTCTATTCTCATGTGTCATATGTAGAGTCATTTTGTTAATCAAATGCAGTTGTGAGAAGAGTATATGAATATAATTAAAGTACTATAATGTGGAAGATCGTTTTGTATTCATGAATAATTCTACTGCACATGAATGATATTAAAAAATGAAAATATATTGTAAATGAAGTGAGAAAATATATTTTGATGAGTGTTCAGTGTATAGTGTCTTCTTAAATCATTTACATAGATGTTTATCAAGATGTTTATCAAAGAATATATTAATGATATATGATATGCATTCTGTATGTAACTTGTCTAAATGTGTGCTTCCTGCATGTAGAGCCTGTGGATCTTGTAACCAAAAGATTAATCACATTTATCTTATTTTCAGTCGTAAAATACTTCCTCTTTTTATGAAAAGACTGACATGCAAGTGGTAGATGTTAACAGTATTCAGCTTCTAGTGTGCTTTTCTCCACCAACATGATATGCAAAACGATAGGAATATTACCTTGTTAAAATTCAGTATTTACAATGTATTCTCTCATATATGCCTTGTTTCAAACTTTCAGTGTGCTACATTTCTTCCAATCTGTACAAGTATTTAATGACAAGACCAAAGTGTGCTCACAACAGATTAGTCATTTTAGTAATTTTTTGTTTGAACTACATTTATTTTTCTATTAGTAGCTACTAATACACACTGTATGCTAATGTTTACATTTTAAAGTACAAAATCCATACTTTTATTAAAGGCGTGTAAAGTTGAAAAAGAAGAAATAAGTGATGTGGATATTGACAGTTATTCCGTGGGGGGGGGGGGGGTATTTCAGTTTAAGGTGAACTTTCTCAACACTTAGATATACTTGATTCAAAATTATTGAATTGGAATTTAAGGAAAAGAATTACATTGAATTACGTTGTAAAGAATAAATCATTAGTATTAGTGCCATAAATTGCCTTCTCATTCAAGTATGATTCTTATGCCAGAAATAATCAGTAAAAGTGTGCAGTTGGGATATTATTTTGTACTTAATAACAATTAACATTGTCTGGGTTTTGTTTTTATTATTGGACATGTCTGTGGGTGAATGACTATGAAATGGGGGGGGGGTGAAATCAGATAAATGGGCTCATTGATTGGTTGTTTTGTAGAAACAGGAAATAATTTTGTTTACACATAAAAAAAAGGCATACAATCTTTGAATAATATGAAAGACAATAGTTTATTTCAATCTATTATCTAAGGTTTACTCCCGTTTTGCTAGCTTTTTGAATGAAAGAGAGGCTGAGACCAAGTACTGGCAATTGCATCACTGCTAGATTAGTTCTTCTTTAGATAAGAATTGATTGTATCTGTCAATCTGAGTTTAGAGTCACAAAATGAATAATCTCCCTCATCTAATTCCTATTGGTGTTCTAGCTAGAAAAACATAATAGCTTTTTTCTGTTATTTTTGCTCTTAGTTATGTAATGTCTTCCTAACCTTGTATCTTCCATAAATGTGTTAGATTTTGATGGATTGATAGAATAGACTAAAAACTAAATGTAACATTAAAATGCAATGGGTGGAGGATTGTACAATTGTAAATAAACAAACAAACTGTCTTTCTGTTACAGAGGGAAAAAAAGAGAATTTATATCAATTACTTTTGCTGTGTCATCACTAAAACAAATTGTTGTTAAGGTATGCTGGTATTTTTGCTTTCAAATCGACTATCATTGAACTGTTAAACGTTTGGTTGTATTTTGTTTCTAATACCGGTCCAACCGGTTAGATGCAGTTGCATTTATGTACAATAACATGTCGATTTATCTCTTTATTGCATATGTACAAACATATCCAAATTATTGCCCATGTAAACTACAACCAACAGTGTTCAAGCGGAGCCGATTATCTTAATATTCACATTCATACTGATTTGAAGCAGATAATATCTTGTTGGCCGACTCCCCAATATTGAGAAGTCCAGTGTTCAGACCTCTATATATACACGTAAGTATCACAGTTTTTATATTGTATGCAGGGGCTTGGATTACCATGGAAAACATGATTATCTTTTTTAAAGCATTTTTTTCTAAATTCTAGTCAGTGTGAGAGCAGACCCTGTTGAGAGCCAGAAGGGTGTTAATTCCTCTATGTTGAAGGATACAAGATAATGCCCTTTTAGCTCTCAGCAGATGAGGGAGGGGCCTTGAAATATAGTGGCAAAATATCAAGCTGTGTACCTCTACAAACAGTGAATTGTATGGTTGTGCAAGTATCATGATCCATTGATGATAACTGTAAAATGAGAAATACCTTATCCTCAAATGTCTAACTTTGTGACTAGCGATTATTGTGTGTACTGTATTCTTTACAAAATAAAAAATTATCACAAATGCCTACTGTATTCACTACTTACGGTATCACATCCAACTTAAAGGTACTAAAACTGTTGTTGCTTCCAAATTCAGTGGTTTTATAGTTGAAAATCTTGACTAGTTTATTACAAGGTTGATGTATGAAAGCTTCTAAGCTGTGAGGTAAAATTATCCTATGTCCGTGTTCCCTTGTACTATTTATGTAAATACACAAGTAACAGAAATCATATTGAAAGTACAAGTATGTGCCAAATTTGTTCATCAGTACCTCGCCTCTTACTATACATGTCTTTTCTACAATTTTTTACAAAGATTTTGAATGTTCCAGACAAAAATGTATTTTTAATAATGTATTGAATTCATGTATTGCTTCTCTAAAAAGTGTGCAAATGTTGATGTTAAATTGAGATTATAGTATGATATGTAATGACGGTAGAACATATTTTTGTGCTGATGATAGGTGTGCTCTAAACTCATATTGAACATGGTGAACAGGTTTTCACGCAGGGATGATAGTTTTCAGACTTTGTAATAGTTCTTCATGTGGATGAACTATAGTCTGTGTGCATTTAATAAAGCCTATGAAGATATCTGGAAGTGATCAATGCTGTTAATGATGTGAGTTTCGTATTGTGAGGAAGAGTTTTACCTCCAAATTAACAAGTAGTTTAGTGACTCCCTCCAAAGGTTTGATGTAATTGTTTGTAATGTACCACATTTAAATGTTTATTGATCATCAACTTTGCATGTTTTTTTGTTTTATGTTTGTCTGTTTGACATTGGGATGTTTGTTACCTGTTTATTATTAGTACTTCATTTTTGGAAAAAAGCATATGCACAATCAAACTTTGTGTCATTCTACTGCTAGTCTGTTAAGTATGTGTATTCCAGCCACATTTATGTGAAGATGCGGCGTATTCCGTATCCTCTCTTAGCTGCCTCTATGTCTGATCTAGCATTAGTATTAATAATAAAATGACCTTTGTATATGTGTGCTTTTCTGTTTTACATATCAAATTTATTCAAAAGGAATGCTGTGAAAAAGAAAAAAAAATCAGTTCGTCTGTGCTTAGAATGTAGTATGAAATGTATATGATGAATTATTAAAGAATAGTAGTTTTCAGTTTTTGGAAAAAAAATACTGCTTCATCTATTTTGTTTCATATTTTGCCTCTTTCAAATTCACTGTTACTGTTATTATTATTTTCCATAATAGAATAAAGTATTAATTCGTGTTTGCATTGATGGTGTTGGTGCTTTAATGTAAATCTGAAAAATACATTTGTTTTAAACATCAATTTCAATTTACTGTATATTTTGCAGGATATAAAAAACGGATGCCAATGAATAGTTATTACATTTAGGGAAGAAAACTTGATTAGAACATTCATTTGTATATATATAAAAGTAATTAATTAATTATGGAAATTTCCATCTCCTGTTTTTCGGAACTACCGGTATGCAATCAAATAAATATTTAAGGTTAAAAAAATAACAATGAGGGTTATACTTAACGTAGGTCCCAATTGTTTTCATAAGCATTTTTGTTGACAGTTGTCATGGTAATTTTATCGTAGACTAATAAAACGAATTGTAGACAGCTTTAGTGAGCCTCAGACTCCATCACTCCCACGCCTCATTAAGTCTTCAAAAAGTATACCCACTTACATAAAAAGCTTTGATTCGTTCATTTTTACTTTCATTTTTAGTGGCGGAGACTATCATAAATGCAATCACTGTCGTACCAACACTCCGTCTATACAACCCCCTTGCGCTCCGCCCGAGGCATTTGATGTAAGATATATTTGACACATTTCTTTCCATCATAATACTTGTTGTCTCGCGTCTAGTTGGCAATATAGGGACGTGTCTTTTCCTCACCGAGACCGTGAAAAGTGGTAAATTTTGAATGGGGAGAAGCAAATGAGATATCTACTGTCGATACACCACGTACTTCATCAATTTTTAAGTTTGAAGCAAGGGTGTAAGGGAGCTCATAGTCATTCGGCTGCTTATTTTAGACACTCGATTCTGGTTCATGCAATTACTGGTTATATTAAGGTTGGGCTCTTGCAATTTTATTTCTCACCGATCTCTTTTTTCTTTTGTTATCCACCCACACGAATCTCTCTTCTCATGCTCTACCTCTCTCTCGCTCTTTCTCTCCTTTTTTTTCTCTCTCTCTCTATCTCTCTCTATCTCTCTCACACACACACACACACACACACACACACACACACACACACACATGTCATCTCCTCTTCTCTCTCCCTCTCTTCCTCCACACCTTGTTTCCTTTTCTCCTCAATTGCTTTCCATCGTTCTCCCTCTCTTCTCTCTCCGATCATATTTTTCTCTTTTCTTTTTCCTATATACTTATCCACCCCATTATCTTTCTTTTTTTCCCCACTCTTTCTACTGTCCATTTCCCCCTTCTGTATGTTCCTATTAAAATATTTTTTATAAAAGATACTTTCCCCCTTCTTTTTTTTTCTAGTTTTTTCTCCTCGTCCTGCCTTTTCATCCCAAGTATAGAATTTCAAACAGTTTGCAAACAAAATAAGACAACAAACTATATTTTTATGAATGGCAGAGAACAAACAGTTTTATTTCTTGCACAACAAAATAAATATATGTAACAGTCTACAAACTAAGATGGCCCACTTACAAATTCAAGTAGAGAAATGACAAGTTTTAACTTTATACACAGACGAACCATCATTATTGTCATATTAATTATTTGTCCTTATTTCAAAGTTTTTTCCTCAACAGCAAATACCCAATACACACATTCATGGCATTCATGATGCGTTTGTGCGCACCTATGTATTTAAAGTTAGAAAAATCATACTTTAATAGATGTCGATACATTTATGAAACTCCTGGTATTGGCCAATAGGATGAAACACAAACGCTTTGTCATTACAACCCATCTAAGGACTAAAATGTAAGGTATAGGCTAGGATGAAACGGTGAAGAATCCTGGTTAAAAGGGAAGCTTGGCGAATGGCTATCGGCGCATAATATTCTTTTTATGGAAATTCATGAAACTCCTGACATTGGAAAATAGGATGAAACACAAACGCTCTATTATTACTACCCATCTGAGAAATAAAAATGTAAACTGTAGACTAAGATGAATCGGTGGAGAATCTTGGTAAGGTAGCTTGGGGAATGACTATCGCCCGAGATTTCTGAGGGTGTGCACAACATTTTAAGTGACATCCATCATTGAGCCACAAATAAACTCCTGGAGATAGAGAGAGGGTCAGCTAGCAAATTTCTAATATCAAGGTTTCGTTTCTTAGCCATGCGATCCAATGTTTGCGTTAGTAAAATACGTTATTGTACATGTGCATAATTTACAAATGATGATGTCATGGGCTTTCCATCAAAATTATGAAAATTAGATAAATATTGTCAAACTTCTCATAGGAAGAAAGGCTGTTTCATGTATTCGGATACCACATTCACTACCACATTCACTTTCCTCTATTAAATTTATTTATCTTTACCTTTCCAACGCTATGTAAATGAGCTTGAAAATGAACAGTTAAATTTGATTAATATTACTTAAAATACTGAGTGATCTTACTGGGTAAAACATAAAATCAATGGCCATTAGTCACCCTCAAAATAAATATTCAAATATTAATAGCATTGATTAAAATACGAATAGAAAAACGTGTACGCGGAACACTTTAAAAGAATCCTTTAAAAATTAATACTACTGTTTAAACAACTAATTTTTGACAGTTTAAATCTAGGATTTTAAATTTGTTTACTTCCCCATAACGACCACACCCAGAAATATCGAAAGACATTTAGAATGTCTGAAATATGAAATAATTGAAATAATTGAAATAATTGTATATGACTGGTATACGTCCATACAATGCTTACTCTATATAGAATAATCTACCATTCTATAAAAAAAATTCCTCCAAACAAAACATGCACCTATACAGATTATTTGTTTGATTATTTTGCTGGTTGAATTTTATGGAAGCATCTAGGAGTTTCTGTATAAAGGGAACAGAAACGGCATTCATTTTCCATTTTTTCATTCCAGGACTGCAGGTTTGATATCTTAAATAGGCAGCACCAATTGCGTGGCGATTGATATATAGGTCAATGAAAACTTTGAGACATGAGACAAATTTCCTATCATTTTGAGTTGATAACAAGAGCTAATACCTGGCTATAAGGTGATCAAATCCTTATTCGTGTAGATTTCTGCACTTGTTAACATGCACCCGCACGTGCTCTCTCTCTCTCTCTCTCTCTCTCTCTCTCTCTCTCTCTCTCTCTCTCTCTCTCTGTTTCTCTCCTTCTCTTTCTCCAGCTCTTTGGTTCTCTGTAATTGTAAATCGTTGTCAGTGATGATCGATCGTTTAATTACTGGGCAGATTTTAAGAATCAAAATGTCTTTTGCTGGTAGATTTGATCAAGATTGTATCATAAATATGTGTTGGGGGCCATCAGCCTAGCACCTGCGATCTCATTTCATATTATGCTTTGACGGGGGCTCAATTTTCTTTTTATATGGAAACATTATGTTCCAGAGAAAACGCCGCAATTCGTTATACACACTGTTCTTATTTGAGTTGAGTTTATTGATTTCACATTTCACATGCAGAAATAATACAGATAACAAAATATACATAAAATACATATTGTTTCATAATTTGAAAAAATGATTATATTAATTGACAAGGTAATCATCACATCTGTTTGACAACTAATATAATTTAAAGGAAACCCAGACAAAAGTACAAACTGTGAAATGTGCAGGAACCTATAGAAAAGCAGAGCTTGTAAAGAATAGGTTCCTGGGAGACTTGAAAAATAACAGGGACAGAAAATGTTTACTCTAGCGAGAGGTACACAATTTAAATTAAGACGGCAGTAATTCGACAAATAATTGTTTGCGAGTTCAATACAATACAATACAGAAAAAATAAAGAAAAAGAAATACATTAAAACGAAGAGGAGTAACGAGCCAATAAATAGCAGAGAATGCACTTATCTCTACCACACATGTTTGCACCACCTGAACGTTTACAATAACCGAACAATAGAAATCATGAATTATTCATTCCTTTCCTGAAAAAAATTAACTTATGTCACACAGGCAAAAGAACGCCTAAAATTGCAAATGAATTGTAAAATGAATTGTAAAATGGTACACGTTATAAGAAAAAAGAACCTTATACATAAAATGTCTAGTCATCATTAATATTGTATGCATTCAACAAATGTAACTTAAGTTTATATTTAAATTGATGAACAGAAGAAGAGTGAAGTAAATCAGGATGAAGATTGTTCCAAAAAGACGGACCAGCATACACAATAGTTTTTTGAGAAAATGAAGTGCGTAAAAGGGGGATGTGAAAATCATTCCTTTTCCTGGTAGGGTATGAATGAATATCCAAGTTCTTAGTGAAAAGAGAAGCAATAGAATCAGGCAAATCATTTGTTGTGAGTTGATACATGAAAATACCCAAATTATAGAGAAATATATCAGACACATGTAAAAGGTTATTGATGAAAAATAAGATGTTAGAATGTGACCGGAAACCAACATTGTGAATTATTCTCAGGGCTCTTTTTTGAGTGACCAATAAACTATGCAGTTGAGTCTTGGAGCAGTTGCCCCAAGCTAAAATACCGTAATTTAAATAAGGGAAAAATAAGGTGGAGTATAGATTCAACAGAACATCAAGAGGAAAGAAGTGTTTAAGTCTGTTGATGACGCCAGTATTTCGTGATAAAAGTTTACATAAATTTCCAACGTGCATTTTCCAATTAAGTTTACAGTCTATAACAAGACCAAGAAATTTTGTGTGTTCAACAAATAAAATGTTTGTGTCATTAATGGAAATGTTACCAGGTAGTGATGTTATGGAGTTACTGAAAAGCATATAGTTTGTTTTAGTCACATTATGAGATAATTTATTGGCATTAATCCACTCCAAAACAGATAGTAATTCATTGTTTACAACGTCAGCAATAATATTTGGATTTGGATGAGTAAAGAAAATATTGGAATCATCGGCAAAAAGTATGAATGACAAAATGGTGGAGGAAGATTGGAAATCATTAATGTAAAGTAGAAACAAGAGCGGACCAAGAAGGGATCCTTGCGGGACACCACAAGTGATGTGTCGTAGACATGAGTCATGATCATTTAAATTAACATATTGCATTCTATCTGTGAGGTAATTCCTGAACCACTCCAAGGCCTTCCCTCTGATCCCATAATGGGATAGTTTATAATAAGAATGCCATGGTTAACTGTGTCGAAGGCCTTGGAGAAGTCCAGGAAAATACCAATAGTATGGGACATATTATCAATAGCACATGCAATCTTATTAATGAACATGAGTAATGCATGAGTTGTGGAGTGTTTACGTCGGAAACCATATTGTGATGACGATAATATATTAAATTTAGTTATGAATTTAAAGGTACGAGTATATATAAGCTTTTCTAAGATTTTTGAAAACGACGAAAGCAAGGAAATCGGGCGATAATTACCCAAGTCATCTTTACTACCAGATTTAAATATAGGAACCACCTTAGCAATTTTCATTTTTTGAGGTACAATACCATTTAGTAAAGATAAATTTAAATTTGCTTTAAATTACTCACACACACTTCAATGGGAACGGACGTGTACTTTTTAAATATGTGTGCATCACATAATGGAGGATGACAGTCATCTCTTCATCGCTTGATATTAAGGTGTGGTTAGTGGGTAATCTTTGTAATCATAGTGTTCTTATTTGTCCTATATAATTATGTACCCACTCATTTCCCATCATATACAAAAGAAACTACACGCACTGCATCGAATACGGGGTGTCTAAAAAAATATTCAATGTGATTTTGATTTGCAATATCTTCGAAAATGACACTACCATCCACACTGAAGTTTCTTAAGTAAAGTTATAGTGGTATCCCGTAAGTTTCGTGTGAATTCTACAAGGGCTTAAGTTAAAACTACAAAGCAAAGATTTTTATTTGAAGAAAAAAAAAAGACGTACCATTATTTTCCTTTTTCGAATCAATGTTGCAGTGAGAACGCGTCGAATATCATCTGTGCATTATAAATACGTCTCTTCTGCATTAAATGCGCTGATAAACCCTTCCATTTAAGTCATTCTAACTTATAATTCCTGGATGAACTCATCATTGACACATTTAAGATTGATTTAAATTTAAAAATATCCATGAATATGTAGTCAAAATCTTTTAAGTATTAGAAGCAGAAGAAAAGATTCAAAGAGGTTTCACTTCATTTATATGTCAACTAGTTATGATGTGAGCAATATACTGTAGGCAACAACTGAGTATTGGTTTAGAAGAAAATAACCATTGTACTACTTACTTAGCTAAATACATGAGTTATCTCATAGATAACGAAAAAATGCTACTTCTGGCATTTTGTAGTACCCCGTATTATTCAGAAATACCCCCCGAATGAGTAGGAGTTTTGTCTGTAAAGAGATTAATATTTATGATTGTCATCAAATTGCTATGATTATTACAAAGCTTTTCAACAGCTTTGCCGATTTACAAACTTACAAATTTGGTTTTGTTTCCGTATAAAGCAAATTATGTTATTTGAGGTTTTGTAATCATAGATATTATAAGAAATTGACAATATAATTCTAAATATCACACACAGAAAAGTAGTGCACACAGAAATACGTATTTGGGAGTATATCAACATGATATTATTTGGCCTAAATTTTAGCCCAAGCATTGAATATCGGATATTTCTATTATGATACCTTTCCACGATAAGAAGAATGATAAAGCTCACTAAAAATGTTCACCCTTACCGGAACCCAGAACCCAATCTTCTCTCTAAATAGTCTTATTTTCCTATACTCTTTTAGAAAACAAGTACAAAGAACATTATGAGTTTTGTGTCAAAAATAAATGTTCAAATCATGTTCATAAACTCACTTTTTCTCGCAAGAAAATGGTAAATTAAACTTTTTCGTTCCCAATTAAAAGACTGGGATAAATTGAGAACTCTTTTCATTTTAATAATACAAACATTTGGGGAGTCTATCAAATAAATAAAGCATACAAAGCGTTGAAATATTAAATTCCGTATTTTAACTGAAATAAATTTCAAAACATTACGGCCTGCATGGGAAGATTTGTATGTACTAATTTTTAAAGTGTCAGGGTTTTTTTGTGGTTAGATTTTGTCCAATTTTTGGTACATTTTTCAGCGATTTTTTCCGGTTTTGAGTCGGGTAAACAAGAGCAGAACGGCATTTATGATGTCTATTTAATCAGACAGGGGAAATGCAGCAAGTGTATATAACAACAAGGGTTGCTCTGCATCCCCATCATACATAAATAGCCAACACAAAATAACCATGCTTGCTTTCTTTCTTCTTGGTAAATATTATTTACCCTTGTAATGAATTTTATGGCCTTAATTTTGCTTAATTATTTCTAAACAAAAGGTATTATATTTCGATTTTGTCTACATAAAATATTATTACCTGATATTTTCAACTAATATTTCATAGAATATAGTTGTTAACGACAGATTGAGAGGAGAGAAAAGCAGGAAATAGTTTTTAAAAGACAGAATATCTTATCCAAAAAAAATCTCAGATATTAGTGTTGGACTAATTCGGATATGAAAATTCAATAAACTGCTTACAGGAAAGAATGGAATTTTTATTTTAACCTCAATTTACATAATTTATAGCGGGGAATTAATAAGGACACGCTCGTAAATGACTAAGCGTTAGAAATATATCAAATTAGTGTGTCAAAGTCCTCTTAAATAAGAAAATCTGTCAGTATTGAGTCCGATTGTGTAGCCGTATAAGTTCTTACAGTAAACATATCGTTATAAAGTAGGAGAGGAATTTTATTCTTTTTTGGGGTGGTGTTATTATCTCCCAAAGTCAAGCTTATCATCTTAATCTCATGATGTTATACATCGTCTCGCACGCTCAACACACACAAGAATGAGAATCCATTATTTATTTTAATCAAGTGCACTGAATGATAACAGGATGTATTTATTAAAGCCCCTGTTAAGTGTTGGGGCCCTAAATTTGCTAAAAATTTGATGGCAAAATTTTACTTAAATTGTATCATAATATGGAGGATAACGACTTGTTAAGCCGGCCCCGGACGTATTGTATGCGACAATTAATCTTTAATAATTATAGCAGAGTTATAGTGCTACTCGAATTAATAGCTTAATTTCAACTTTTACATTCATGTTAAAGGTATTACAAAGTTTTGGTATGGGGTCATGCATTCGGTTCAAATGAACATATCGGAAGCATATGCGATTTTACAATATTCAATGATCGTTGTCGCGGTTAAAATCGAGTCTAAAGTGATGAAATTGTAGATAATAAACTCTTTATGTTGTAAAGCGCCCTCTCAATATTTATATTACTTTAGCTCTAAAACAATGTTTCCTGACTAGGATCGACCGATTTGCCAATACTATTTTGAAATTATATATCAGAACTACATATTCTGAGATTTTCATGGTCGCAGCTACCATGGAATGGCCTTAGGCGCTATTTGAAATATTTGAAATTTACCGGGAGCACCGGTAAATTTGTTGATTATTCAACTTCTCGAAAGCAGAAGTGTTTCAGGGGCTAAATTTTCTAGTGCTTATAATAGATCCACAGGGGCATCCCAATATATCAAAATGGTAAAGAATTACTATCAATCTGATTTTCGAAATTTCCCAAAACTTTGCATTACCTTTAATGTAACCTTAATTTTGCTTATTGAAAAATAAAATTGTAATGTTTCGCACATTTTTTTCCTTCAAGTTAAAAAATCAGAAAATGATTATTTCAAGGATAAACAACATAAAAAGGAACTAATGATTAAATCATTTAATAAGCGGAAAACAGCTCGATGAAAGACTTTACCTCTTAATGGTGCAATTCTTAAACTAGAACGTGATTGGCGAAGGATTGATGTGAAAAAAATGTTGTAGTCCTTTGTCATAAAATCGACGCAATCCAGTCCTCAAAAGTTTGTCAAACAATCACCAGTAGAAAAAGAAAAGAGCCCTTCCATTTTTATTTCCGCTCAAACTGTTGATAAAATAAGCTGAAAAGAGACGAAATTCATTGATAGATATTAATAGGAGTAGCATCAACGGCTTGCGGAGTTTATGAATTACATTCACAAACTGTCATTCATTTTATACAAAGTTTGACGATAATGACGATGATGATAATGATATTAAATAATAATTTCATTTCTCATCATTTTACCTATGTTTTCCCTTATGTTTGGTTATTCATTAAAGTGAATGACGCTTTTGTGTTATTCCGTTTGATGAAGGTAAGATGAATGCATTTAGGCATAGTTAAAGGCTCTTTCTGCTCAAATGAACTTGTAGTTGTATAACAGGAGAATTTAAGAGCTCATCAACAAAGAAAAATGCATAAAATCTTATTTAAATACGATGGTATGTCGAATACAGATCTTAATTTAAAACTTTCAGTTTGGGACAGAAGGAAAGACTGTGCATCAATTTGGCCGCTGCTTTGATAACGTTGAACGGAACAATAAGCCTATATTTTAATTTGAAAAAAAGATCTTCTATGAACGCGATCACAAAGTCTTTCTAAATATCAGCCTAAAGCAATTCCAATGACTTCACCTGTGAAAATGTGGGAACATTACAATCACTGGCGTACTGATGGGGGTGGGGGGGGGGGGGGCTTGGGGCAGAAAAAATGCCCCCCAAAGTTTTTGCTCATTACGCCACTGATTACAATGACATGTTACGTAATAATAATAATAATAATAATAAATATAAATTTATTGAGCGCATAATAACCCGAAGTTTCTCTAAGCGCTTTACAAAGTAAAAAACAAGCAAGTACAAGTATATTTAAATAGTTACAAATTAAGAATAAAAATAAAGACCTTAAACTAAAGACATGTAGCTAAGAGAATTCATTGCGAGCAAAGTTAATACGTATCTAAGTCATAGGGTACCGATCATGCCCCCAAAATGATTTTTATGAAAATCTTTACCACCGAGTGTCTGGATTTCATTTTTTTGTCAACGCTTTGTAAAGGAAGACCAGATAATAATGGCTCGTGATGAATTTTGCTGTCTTTATGAGAAAAATGGAAGGAATAGATAAACATATCTGAAATAAAGGAACATTATATAAAACGTCGTCAAACTTCATCAAGCTAAGAGAGAGAGAGAGAGAGAGAGAGAGAGAGAGAAGCTAACTCACTTCTTCGATCTGACGTTGTATTTCAGGTGGGAGTTTGCTGAAGACCTGATCAAGATTGCAGGTCGGTCTTTTGGCGGGAATGACTGACGTCTGCGTTGGTGCCCTCTGTAGTTCATTTGTTTCATCGTTGGTTGCTGCTTCTCCTATCAATGAATTCCTTTTTCGCGTTGCCTGGCCAAAAAAAAGATGTAAGTGGTGTGAAAGAAAGTTGATAACTGTAATAACTGAATATTTAAGCTGGAAGTTATAAGATTAAATCAGCATCATTGCAACAAGACGGATGTGGGATTTGTCACTACACCTTGCGTGGCGTATCCCGATATATCGGGGGGGGGCATTTCGGGCGGGATGCAATTAGTGTTATAGATAAGGGGACTTGTTTCCCCGTCACCGTCGAATGGTGAGAAAAGGGAGGACCCCAAAAGGAGGGAAGGAGAGAGAGGGAGGGAAGGAAAGAGAGAAAGAGGGAAAGGGAGAGAGAGGAGGTGGGGGGGGGGGGAGAGGAAGAGATAATACGCCCTCCTATACCCTCTCCTTACTCGGTTACCTTGTTCTCTCATATCTTATTCACCTTTCAAAACTGCCCCTAACACCCATGCCCCTTCAATGGCTTGGTGCAGAAATACGGTGGAAAGTTTTTTTTTGCAGTTCCTTATACCGTACTAATTTTTCCATAATGCCACACATGGGGTATACACTGGTTCACCCTATGCTGAATAAGCCACTGGTACAAGTCATTAATTAAACATCATCAGTATCATAAAGATACGTCTAGATTATTTTGTTGTATGTTTATCTTAAAACTTTTTTTTTTTAATCTATTTTAGCAAAATGCTCACAATTTTTAAAGTTATGTCTTTTTCTTCTCCTTCTTTTTCACTCTTACCTTTTTTAAATCTAGATCTATTGCTCTCTCTCTCTCTCTCTCTCTCTCTCTCTTTCTCTCTCTCTCTCTCTCTGTTTACCTCGCTCTCTCTTTCTCTCTATCTCTCTTTCTTTATCTCCCTCTTGAACATTTTGAATATATTTTTTTATATTTGTTAGACGTCGCTATCAAGCTTACGGAGATCCAATTTTGTACTTTAGTACTGTTTCCACTTCATGTATGTACTAATATTTCGAAGAAACTAACTTAATCCCAGACTCTTTTCATTATGCGTAATTTTCACAATGTTTCCCCTATCGCCTATATTTTAAGGATTTCAAATGATTGCAGTGAATGTGTCGGTACTTCTACGAAGATATCCTATTGTAACTTAAACTTGAAATATATCATGTCAAAACACAGTGGTTCAAACAACATGTGAATAGTGAATAAAAAGATAAAAGTAATGAGAGCAACAAATAAGAGTCAACACAAAGTCATGTCGAATAATATATCAGACACTAATGAGTTCCTCATCCAATAAACAAATTTCATTTAATTATCCCGAGCCCACATGATGTTAAATATCACACACCTTGCAAGAAAACATGCTTGAAAGTGAGACTTACTATTCCATAATAACACGCCTCGCATGCTGGGACATATGTATTACACTTCCTACAGTCTCCGCAACCTGTGAAAAGAAAAGATGTATATAATAAAGAGTGATGATAATTAGAAAAGACAACATTTTACGTCGTCTGCATCAAGTCAACAATGACGCGTTTTATCAATTGTCCTAGAAACGATTGCAACGTCATCTGCAAAAATCAATATAAACCATTGCGTCAAAATAATGTATGAGCTACCGTAGCTATGGTATAACCAGAAACATTGCGACACTATACGTCATCTGACGATATTATGACTAGTAATTCCAATAAATGTATTCGTGATGACGCAATAATGATGGCCTAAATAGGAGGAATAATGAGAAAACGAAGTAGGTGAAAATACTGATAATTACATCTTTATGTGTTATATTGTTGCAAATTATATTGAAAGTTCTTTTGTTTAACGTATTAATTACGAAAGAAAATACGTGTTTGTTTATTTTTTTGTTTATTTTTTAATACAGTATAAAAACTACTTTCCGTCAAATATACAACCCAACTCAAATTTGAACGAATTAATTGTGCTATTCAAACGTTATATTGAGCATAATTATTATCGACATGTAGGCCAATTCTAATAGTAACACGGGCTCCAACACTGTGACATTTTTCACGACCAATGATAAGACTATATTAAAGATGTTTGGTAAGTCTTGCACTATAACAAGGTTAAAACATTGTTGTCTTTGTATTGCAGTCTTCTGCACTTCTCCTCAATTTACATACAACCTATTCGCAAATACCTTATACAACGTGTTCTTTTCATTGTGACGTAAAAATGACGACGGGAATACTTTTCCATGTATACAAAACATTATTTGCGCAAATACATAAAATGATATGCTGAAATGATTGCAAAGTAAGGAAATCTTTGAGCAAAAAAAAAACATGATTAACAATTAAAAGGGCACTCAATAAAATCTCACAGGAAAAGATGGGGACAAAGAGGCAAAGTGCATTGTCAAAGAAATTACACACAAAAATAAAAAAAAAAAACATTTTAACCATGGCGAGATACTTATCATAATCGATTTTTTTTTTAATTTTTTAATTTTCTTTTTACTATTTTTTTCCATTTAATTTCATTCAAAAAGTCAGAAGTTAACCAAAAAAAATCTTTATTACCCATCAGTTATCAAAACATAAAATAAATATCACATTTATTAAAATTTCGGGGAGAATATGGCTGACAAATTAGGGGAAAAACACATTGTTTTCAAATCTCAGTTTAACTGTGATTGAAAGGACTATGATATTCACATAGAGGCTCTTTTGTTCTCTAATATGAGTCGATTTTTCTTCTTCATGTTATGAGACTTTCAACTGAGTGTTCCCATTTACAATATGTATTGAAGAGGATAGATCCCCCATTAGATAACCATTTCATTAATGTATGATCAAATATTGAATGACTTAAACATGTCACTGACTTGATTCTTAAGTGTTTGCTTCGTGGGAATAGTAGCTTAAGATGTGGGTGGGAATCAAATAGTGAGTAGTCGCCCAGAAGTACTCGAAATGTAATTTTAAGAGTGTAAATGTCTCCTATTATTGCGCAGTAATAGATGATGTATTCTTCCATAGTTAATAATTAGCCATTCACATTACCAGGGGCCCATTATTCTGCATGAGAAATTATACTTCCTGGAAATTATTCATCTTGTTGGTCTTCGTCAAAAAAGAAGTCAAATCACGGAAAAAAACACATGTTTGGTTATAGTGTACAATAATGTGTTATTAGTTCATAGTAGACATTCACATTACATCGAGAACCGTTATCTTGATAATTGTAGTTTTCAGAAAACTATGTCCCGTGCAAGAAAGAAAGAAGAAGGGAAATCATGAAGGGGGAAGGGGGAAATCGTTATATCTGGGCTACCCTGCCTATATTTATAAGCTTATGAGTTAAGAGGAAGGGAGTGGTGTCTAGGTTATTGAGTGGCACAGCGTGAAAGATCGATTTTTTTTCCAAAATCTTTCTAGGATCCCCCCTCCCCATCATTGCACCATAAGGTGTCGTGGTCTTGTGGATACGTCACCGGACTGTGGATCACATGGTTCGCGATTCGAGTTCCGCCGCGGTACTAATGTCCTTTGGCAAGATATTAATGTAAATTTGCAAACCACCATCCAAGAATATTAAATGAGTATCAGGTAGGAGTTTATTACTTTATTGCTTTGAGCGCCTTTGGGCAGCTGGGCTAAAGCCAGGGTAATAATATATAAATATTGACTGGTTTGAGAGGCATGGTAAAAACTATTACCCAAGGTCATCTCGAAACTTTGCTGTGCCCCGAAGACGAAGTCGAAGCTCTCTCAAAAAAAGTGTGCAATGCAAATTTAGCTTTTATTATTAGTATATCATGGTATATGTATTTAATTCATGTGACTGGATATTTAAAAAAAAAAATTTTCCTTCTTATTCTACATTATGTGGATATCGAAGCTTTTGGCTTGATGATAACTGCTAGTGACAAATCACATTACCTCTCACACTGGAAACACAATACTTGCGTGAATGAGACGATAGACAAATAAACGTATCTGATTCATTTTTAAAGGGTCGCTTCCAATAAAAATTAATGGTACAATTCTGAAAGTGAAAAACTAATTATGATCATCTCCCTCTGTATCTGTCTCACCCCCTCTCTCTCTCTCTCTCTCTCTAATTTTACTTAATTTACAATTAGCGGCATCATTATGATACTCATTGCAAATCAATTGTATCATTTCCCTAGACGTATTATAGTTACTCTTGTTCAGATCAGCATCAGAGAGTTTAGATCGACTTTTTAAATCGACTTTTCAAATATAAGCACAATCACAAAGTACATTGAAATCGACATGTTTACTTTTTTATTGTTGTAAAGGTTTTTCGTTTTGTATAATTTAAAGTCAATTTCAATACAATTCTGCCTACTATAAGAAGAAAAAATACATTAAAAAAAAAACGAACAAAATACATGAAATGACCCCCATTATAACAACGCTGATCAAAATACCTTAGAACAAAAATAGTGTTTTTATTTTGGCCATACTTATAAAAGCAAGTGAGAAAAGAATCATATTTAGATGAATGAATATGCCCGCCTATGTGTTAATTGGAGATTAAAATGATGGGAGATACTGTGACATCCATTGTTTCCCTCTAAACTATCTATGACGTGCAGGAAGACTGTTAATCACACTGTATGTACATTAGCTTTGCAAGTATGGCGTGTCACGTGAATGGATCTAAGGCTATGATTGACTCGACAGATTCTGGCTGACTTAATATTATACTACATCATAATAATATTATTCGAACTTCACAGTGTTCAATTGTAACCTATGAGTGGAAAGTAAGTGGTAGTATAGAAGTGGTAGCAGTAGTAGAAGTAGTAATAGTTGTTGTTGTTGTTGTTGTAGTAGGAGGAGATGGAGAAGAAGCAGGGGGAGTAGGAGGGGATGTGGGCGAGTAGGAGGGGGTGTGGGCGAGTAGGAGGAGGAGATAAGAGTTAGTATAAGGGTAAGGGTTAGAGTAGGAGTAAGGGTATGATAAGGGGTAACGGTAAGGATAATGATGAGGGCTAACTTCTCGGCGAATATCGTCCGACACTCCCTCCCCATTCAAACTTCTCCCCCGATGCCCCCCCCCCCCTCCTTCACCCGTCTATTTCTCAATTTGTCTGATTTAATACCTGGTAGACCTGGCTAGATGCCCTGAGGTGTGAATTGATCTCATTCAAACGAGTGTGTGTGTTCTTTCACCTGCACGGTAGTCCGATTAATTAGAAACGCAAGTCGGTTGGCAACTCGTGGGAAATATACATGATATCCATTGATATCTCAAATATGACATGATTGGTAATTGATACAATTGCATCATAACTAATCTGATGATAGAGAGGAAGGGAGGGAGAAAAGAGAAAGAACGAGAGAGAGACTGAGTGGGTTGAGAAAATAATTGTGTATGATAGAGGCAGAGAAATAGAATTGATTGATAGAGAGATGAGTAGAGGAGAAAGAGAAAGAAAGGTATATAGAGAAGAGAGAGAGAGAGAGAGAGAGAGCAAAATGGGATATGCCTATACTGTAAATAAATTGAGAAGGGAAAGGGAAACAGAGAGAGAGAGAGAGATAGGAAAAAGAGGGAGAGGGAGAGAGAGAGAGAGAGAGAGAGAGAGATTCAGAAAGGAAGATCAATGGAATGACACCATGAACAGACTACGGTCGATTATTATTATTATTATCATCTTCTATACAAGCAGAAGAAAAGCTAAATCAGGCTGACGTTTGACACGCCCTACATTCACTTGAGAAGATAGCCAGATAGCCCAATGGGTTTCCTTTGATTCCATAATCACTTCTTGTCATACATTTTCTTTTGTCCCGTAAAGTGTTTGTTTTATCTGTACAAAATTTGAGCTATACTCTGACATACGCCCGCATCAAATGCATACAAGAGACAGACTCCAATATACTGTTTAATGATACGTCCATCTTTAGCGGATGCCAATGTAAACCAAACAGACTATATTGGCAAAGAAACATGAATGGAAATTTTTTCGGTTGATTGATGATGATCAAACCTGCAAATTTACTTAACGATCACGTCATGAACAGTGATAGATAATTAGGTCATTTAACGGCGACCAAACGTTAATTATAAGGATGTTTACAACCATTTATATCGCTTCATCAGGCTACCGGGGGAGGTAGAAAGAAAACCTTTGTAGATTTATTTTCAATGTAATGTACTGGAACTATACAGGGGGTCAACATGTAAGCTTGAATTTCACATGGAAAAATAAGTTCTTTAGACCAATTGATAGCTAAAAGATATGTGGGTTATTTTCTCCTGTTTGTGAAGTCTTTTCTTTCACTGCAATATTGTCCATTGTAGATTAGAATGTAAATCAATTCTAACATTCAATTTTAGCGGTTATTCATGCATACCAAGATTCTTGTTAATAGAGGCTACATGTTCTATTCACAAATTTTGTATCGATCAGCATAAAAAAATGTATACTTTTTACTT